AATTAGAGTTTATTACTCTGTGTTCCTGGGAATGTAGTTCATCATAGAAACACTTTATTAACAAAAGGTATAAGACAATATAGCCATATTGTTTCAGCACTAAACAAGTGTGAATGTCAGGCCAAATTGTTACTATAGGTTAGCATTTCCTCCCATTTTTATTCGTCTTATTTGTGCCGATGTGAAAACTTCTGCTGCACAGATGAGGAATCAGATGTGAAGAAGGTAGTTTATGTTTTTGTTGACAGGAAAATGCTGGTGAGGTTAAAGGCTTTCAGCACTGATATGTTGGTGGACTGAACATAGTGTGACCACCACATGACATACAGGCCCCATTGCTGTGCACTGAGTCAGGACTGCTGCAGAAGCACACAAAAATGCCAATAATGTCCTACACACTGCGTTGACAATTTGACTTAAATGTAATTGAGATTTAACTGACATGAAATTTATTTAGCAAAAAAACTATAACTGCTGTTATTATTTATAAAACCTGATGCATAATGTAAATATTGCTGTCAGCAAAGACTATTTCATTTTCTTTCTTAATGGCTGTTGAACCTAATACAGCAGAAATTAAAGCGTAAACGACCCATTTTAAGACATGTATAGATATATTTTTGTAAATGTATTGATAAAGAGTTTGAGTTCTTTTACACAATAAAAAAACAACCTGAAAATAATTTAATTTTGAAGATATAAAGGAAAATCTAGTTTATGTTCTTGCAATATCTAGTTTACTGTAGTTTACTCTTTTTGTTTTTCAACCATTGAAAAAAGTTGATTTAATTGTGGATGTGTATTTGTGTGTGAAAACTTGAATGCTCTGTTCAAAACTCATTACTGTTAATGGAGCAGTCACTTTTCCTCATAAGAAAATGCAAATTTTAAAATCATTAGTTCGTATGGTTGCTTTCGCCATCGGTAAATAATTCAAAAAGGCCGCTCTTTATAACCATTGTTTTTTAGCCACTATGAGACTCCGATATGCAGGAAAGACCTATACATGCTTTCAGACAGCAGATGGTGATACACCTACGTAGTTTCTGTTTACCCAGATGGTGGTGCAGCTATCAAGGCTTCAAGTCTCCATATGCTCTGCCAGCAGCCATGCCAAATAGGACAGCATGCAGTGCTAAGCAGCTCAGCAAAAGGCAAAACTCCGGGTGATTCCTGCTGGCAGCTTCGTTGCTCCTCATGTGTTACTCCTATCAAGTCAGAATCCAAGGTTGCTTCTTTCTTGTCATTTTGGCTCAGTAATGCTTCCGTGTTTTTAGGTTATAGAAAAATAAAGCTCCTGTTACAGTGCAGATAAGTAGGTATATGTGGATGAAGGCGGGTCACGTGAAGAGCTGCGGAGGCTCAGATCAGGAGCACTTTGAGCTTTTTAAGCTGTGAACAGTAGGTGGGAATATGACCACGTCTCCCACCATCAGCTCTGTTGGGTCAGCCTCTGACCTTTTTTTTACCGCATCATCAAACACTGCATGCTTTCACAGTGGTTTCAGCGGCTGCTGTGGGACTACAGAAATCACTTGTCTTAGTTTGAGTAGTCAAGTACATTTAGCTGAGAGTTTACTGATGGCTCAACATGTTAGCTGATGCTTTCAGGTTTTTATATTTCAGCTCATACTGAGACTACTAAGAGAATATTCAGGCTCTGGCCAGATAAAGCCACAGACCTTCCTTAATAAATCGAACTAATTTCGTGAGGTGAGGAATTTCTTGTCCTTTCAATGATTTTTTGACTTCAGTGTCCAGTTTTTTGGTAATATGAAGATAATGGATTAACATATTGATGTTGTGATTGTAAAGCTAATCGCCATGGTATATTAAAGTTGCCAAAACACCTGAGATGATACCCTAAAGTGGTTATATGTATTATTGAAGGACTAAGTGAATGATATTCTATTCATCCTCATGTCTCACTCAGTCTTTTACTCCCTTTAGTAATTATGTTCTTGTTCAAGGTTAAATATAGTTAAACTAGGATTATGTGAGGACACAAGAGTGAAATCTCACTTTTCTTTCTCTTCACTGGCCTATAAAGCTTTTCTGCTCTTCTTTTTTTTTTTTTAGGTTTAATCAGCTGGTTTTGATTTATTAAATCATATCAAATTAGGGTTTGAACAGGTTTTAATCAACTACTGCAAATGCTGATCATTTAAACATAGTTTTGAATTCAACACAAAAAATGAAGGATAAATTCAACCAGAGATTTCATGTATCAGAATTAAATGTTCTTAACTTCTGATTTATACCAAACTCGTAGCACAGTGCTTCTCGATAAGTTTACAGATCAACAGAAGCAGTAATATATTTAAGAACTGGACAAACAATCTGATTCTTCTGCATATGACTCTCCAAACATCAGCCAGAGAACATTTTGGTTATTTGGTTTCAACCAGGTAAAAGTAAAAACAGCCTTTCAAAGTTTTGTTGTCAGTTCAAAATGTTAAAATCATTTATATAAAATCATTTTTTAAGCTATTTTCCATATCTCCAGCTATTTTCTCTTACCCATAACTACTATGACACCTTACTGTCAGTGACCTACTATGAAATCCCAAGAGTTTAGCATGAAAAAATGGTTTTCTTTGCAAATTATTTTTTAAAGCTGCAATTTTCATTCATGACTTGTTCCCCATGAAGATTTTCCTTCTCATGAAAGCCAGTTTCAAATAATCAATTGCTGTTTTTTTTTTTGTTTTTTGTTCCTTACATTAATGGATTAGCTCGCTGTCACAATACTGTAAATATTTTTTGTATTTACTTCTATTTGTTCCATCCTAATAACAAAAACATATTTTTTTTTAGTAGCTGAAAGGAAAGAACCAGATGTTTTTTTTTTAAATATTAATTAGCCTAAAAATCTGCTCCCTGCATCTCGTTCTAACTTAAATTACCTTCAGGTTCCACATATTTTTTCAGTAGTGCAAGCCAATGCTGTCAATATAATTGGTAGATGTTGGTGCTTTGGTCGCCATTAACCATCTGTCCTCGAAAGAAGCAACAATAGCACTGGAGGTGCACCTGCCTCCAAAGGTGCATGTCTGCAGTCTGTCATGTGGAGCAGGGCCATTTTACAGACAGACGATTGGACATCCAGTCTGTCTGGGCACCTGCTGGCTGTGCTGCTCATGTTCTCATTTTCTAATGTTTAGCTCTAATGGTGGAAAACAGCCTTATGCCCTCCCAGACTGTGAAACCAGTATCATAATATCCCTGATGGCGATCCAAAGAAAGCAATCTGCTTTTTGAGAAACTGAGAAAAAAACAGGACAGACATAAGTTTAATTATATCATAATACCAATTATTTTTCCCCCAAGGACAGAAGCCTTAAAAGTTTTTGGTTATCTACTTTAAAACAACTATTGAAAGTTAATTATTGATCCATTTGGTTTTTTTTTTCAAATGATGTAAATGGATGATACTTGTATTTTATTACTAGATTATATAGGTCAGCCGGGCAAATCTAAGGTGGATAGGTTCTAGCTGGATGTCTGTCCTTACAGTAACAGGAGCAGCAGAGATGAAGCCGCCTTCATGTGGAAGGTTTTGCTTTAGCACATCTCTGGGAGGAAGTTTTCCAAAGCTGAATAAGGTCACTAACCTAGAGGCTTGATTAGCAGTAGGCAAAATAAACTGGTAACTGATATAAATTAGTGGTGCTGGTTCTTCCCTGGCAAAGCAGTCTGTAATATTGACATGGACAAAACATTCAGAGATGGCTTTCAAACATCCAGGGCTTTATCCCGAATTAGAAAGTCAAATTCAAATAATATATCTGCAGTTTTTTCTTGTCATATTATAAGGGCTTAAACAATTAATCGGACTAATTCTGGTTATTAAAGTAGGGCTGAAAGATTTTGCCAAAAATCAAAATTGTCATTATTTTTAACCAAAATTTCGATTGCGATTTTAGTTCTCACTAACCCCAAGCTTGTAGATATTTCACCCCAGGCTTTCAGTTTTTGAAAGCTTGTATGCCTTGAGTCCATTTTTACAGGACTTTCCTGTAACCATTGTGTGAAAAAGTGTTCACTTATATTTCCTTGCATTGATCTGCGTGCTAGCTCCAACTCTCTCTACATTTCTGTGTGGTAAAGGTGTGTGATTGGATTCATATATTGACCACTGATGATAGACTCAGCCCTTCAATGGTCGTTTTTTAAGAGCAATTTTTTTGTTTCCTTTTTAGAACTACAGGTTAAGACGCAGCCCATGATAAAAAATAGTTTTCAATGGTACACACAAACTCCTTCCAGCTGCAGCTGTTTACCCCAGTGCCACCGTGCAGCAGTAATTTATCTACTTAAACTTGAGACAGAAACAAAGGAATGGTCCAAACCTGTGACTAGCTGATTTTTTTTTTTTTTTTTTTTTTTTGTGGAAAAGTTTTAATTTCACATGGTTTAATATTGTAAAAAGACTTCTTTAAGAAACATTTTTCTATCAGGTTATAAATGGGGAACAGATATTTTCCCTCTTTAATAAATGTTTTAATGTTAACAGATGGTTGCGGGAATAAATTTCTTTATTCGCCAAATTTCAAAGCTTTTCAGTTTTCAAATCACGAGTGTGGTTTCATAGATAATTAGCACCCTGTTGTTTGAAAAAGCAATCCCTTTAGCCAGGATTAGCACCTGCTGCAGTAAGAGGCAGGTGTTAGGTCATATGGACACAGGGAAGGAGGACTTATTTGTAGCAGGAGAGGACGCCCATTTGGACCATAAAATGTTTCGATTAAATATCCCCAAACTTTATCGATTCAGAGTAAGTCTGCTTATTTTAATTCTCCCTTAGAGACATTTTATGGTAGATTCTCTGTGATTCTGAGCCAAACATACAGTATGGGTCAGATATGCTACTGAATAAAAGAGGGAAGTGTATGGGAAAAAAAGATTTGTTGAAATGCTGAGAAAATGTTTTACATTTCTTTCTTCTTTCATGTCCCTTCTGAATTTAACTCTGTATATCCTTCTTCTTCACCCCGCAGTTGGCTGAATACCGTCAGAGAAAAGCTCATGCGGACTCCCAGAAGAAACAGAAAAAGAAGAAGAAAAAGAAGCCGGTGGAGGATTCTGAGGGAGACTCGACGGGAAGGGTCGAGGTGGAGCCGGATCAGTCTGTGGGTGGAGAAAGAGAAAGGGAGGAGGTTGAGGGTGAAGGACTAGATGAATCACATCAAGGAAGGGAAGAAACACCCACCACAGAGTTTACCTTCACCAAGACGCTGAAGAGCGGAGAGACGGTCAGGCACGACCAGACTTATAAGATAGAGGTACACTATTTAATTTCATGAATTACTCAAAAAAACAAAAATAACAGTTATCTGCATAACTTTGAATGGCCAGCAGTGTATTCAAAAAAATTTAAAATATTGCTGTGTTGCCTTAAAAAGTATTCAAACCTCTTGCACTTTACATTACAACCAAACTTGGACAAGGTCAGTTTTATTTGTGTATCACATTTCCGACAGCTCTAAATGCAATACTGCTTTACAAGCAGCACGACTGAATGTAAAAAAAGAAAAGAAAAATCAAGCAAAAAAGCTAGTAGTTGTTATGTGCAGAACTGTGCAGGAATTTATTTAAAAATGTGTTTATGCAGAAAATCACTATTACTGTAGATATTCTCATGCTATGAGTATTGCAAAATACCATATCAACCATATTTACAGGAGGATTAATGGGTGCATGTGTTTATGTGAGCATGGAGGGTGTCAGGGGGGTGAGTGCAGCAGGGAGAAGCCAGTAAAGGGAAAAACCTTTGGCTTCTGACTAGGCGTGTTAATCACACCCATCATGGCGATTCAATTCAGTCTCGATTTCCTGACCCAACATTTCGATTATTTTCGATACTCAAGAATACACCATGATAAGCTTCGATTAATTGGTTCTTTTTTTTTTTCTTTTTCTTTTACCTTACAGGCTAGACAATGTTTCAAATTTGAAATAAATAAATGAAAGCTGCAATATCATCATGCATTTTATTTGAGAAACAACAGCAAATAACAGAAGTAGAAAAGTTGTACTCCACCTAGGCCTATTAAAACCTCATTCACTGAAAAATAATAACGCCCCTGCGTTATAGATTCTGAAAGGCTTTGCATCAAAAAATACTGCACAAAATCAGTGCAATGAGTGCAATTCAATACCACGGCTCTAGAGTGTCAACGTTCCCGTCCCGTCCACAGACGCTCCGCTGCACCTCTCCCAAATTGTAGCTGACCGCAGACAGCGCCGCAGACAAGAGGCCGGCTAGTTTTGTTTTCATGACCAAAATTGCGGAAAACAACTCGTGAAGTTTGATCCGCTAGAAGAGCGAGGTGCGCGAGAATGCTGGGACCCTTTTTCCCACTTGGATCCCCGCTATTTTCCGCCGTCATGTCCCTCCATTGTCGGACAAACTCGCCCCACTTCCTCTCCGTCTCGGCCGTATCTAGACCCACAACGTGTAGCGTGCCTTCAATATTGGGCATAAATCAAAAATGTCTTTGTCAAGACCACTGCGACACACTGCTGCAAGAGTATAACCAGGAAGTGAGGTAGGAGGGCAAAATAGGTTTAGCGCCACCGCAGCACGGGACTGAGAATTACACCCAGGAGCAAATGGGAAAAAAAATAGAACGTAGGACAAAAAAAACAAAACATGAATCGATACTCTTGCGGACGTGTCGATGCATCGGATCGTCGGCTGTTGGATCGATACAAAACGATTATTATTTACACCCGTACTTCTGACCCAAATACCTCCTGTAAATATTTTAAGTACCACAAACTGGAGCCTCACTGACGTGATGGACAGGTTTGCCCCCCCCCCCCTCCACAACAACTTCTGGTCTGCAGCAGAGCAATATGTGGAACAAACTGTAACACTCAAGGTTAAGATGCTCTCAATGTTGCAGTTTTAGAAGTTCACTGATATGACTTTAGGGTGATGGTCTCACTTTGGTTTCCTTGGGAAAATAGAGGGCTGCTGAGTCTCCTTGACCTGGCTGGAGCAGTGCAATGTCCTGATGTGATCATGTGGGTTCCAAGGAATTTGAAGATCGACAAACACTCACTTGTACTATAGATGGGTTATGAGCTTTTTAGTATTCAGGATGTTGAGCTGTTTGTTGTCGTACCAAAACACAGTCCTGCCCTCCAGTTCCTCCCTGTAGGCTGATTGATCATTATTCCTGATGAGGCCAATCAGCAAACTTAATCATGATGACATTACCCTGCATGGGTTTGATTATAGAGGATGGTATATTTATATGTCTAACTTAATTTCTTTATTATTTTATCTGTCTTTTATCTCTCTAGTGTATTTTTATCCAACTTCTGTCAAATGTTTCCCTTAAAGGTATAGAGGACGATCTTTTATTTCTGGGTGGATCATCTAAATAAGTGGTCCTCCTAATCGTCAATCATTCTGATGATATTTTTACGAAATGCGGTCCTCCGTGCTTGACCCCAGTTAGCTATCTTTTTCTGTGCATGTGCACTTTCACACGCATGCGATTTCAGCCAACCATCGAAGCTCACCTTTTTCACCGCGGTTCTTTGAAAATGAAAAGGGTCGTAAGAGAAAAAGTGTCTACGAAGTGAATGAGAAGAAAGGCCTTAGAAGATGCAGATATATCCCAGAATGCTTTGCACGGAGAGCTCTCCTCAAAAAGCATTTTGGAATTTGCTGTCGTCATAGTGGCCCGCTGTAGCTACCCATCAGCGCCGAGTTATAACCATAACGACGCAGGGACCGCGTGGTGGAGGAGGAGTTACATTACCAACGGGAAGCAAAAAGTAGTGATCATCTGTTCGAATGGTATGTTAACTGAGTTTGCTATAAAATCCACTATATAGTTCCTGCTCTATATAGCGATTAAGGGAATTAGGGGTTAGAGTGGACATTTCCAAACAGTAAGCTTGTATGAGCTATGAGGCCAGCAACTTTTAAACAGTGTGCACGAGGAGAAATGGGCTCTTGGATGCTCTGGCTGACACCCGTTTAACAGGGGTTCCCTCTCAGGAGTGGGTATAGGGTTGTGCATGTGCATTTTTTTTTTTAAGTATGGAGGGCGGATCTTTTAACAATTTCAGCATCGATACCTTTAAATCGGGGCTGAACTGGGGTTTAAACTCCACCCTGAAGCTTGGTTTGGTGGTATAAAAACACTTTTTAGAACAATTAAAATGGCATGTGTAAGTATTTATTTCTAGAAATAACTATTTTCCATTTCTAGAAGTTTACTAAAGAAGGAGTTTATCATAGAAATATTTTTAACCTATGTTATCTAAAAATATTATCTGACCTATACATGAAAAATATAATTAAGATATCCTTAAAGATATGGAAACAATTTAGGCATTTCTTTAGACTCCAGACATATTCCTTGTATGCTCCAGTTGCATCAAACCATGTCTTCCCTCCATCTTTGCTACTACTCAGCTACTACTGTATGAATAGACATTTTGTTAAAAAGATAAAGCAGAGTAATGATTTATGTACAGTGCTTTTAAAATGTGGTCATTTTATTGATTGATTGATATATTTATTGATCTCGTTACATCAACTCAAATAGTCAAAGAAGAAGAATATACTGAAGGAAGACAAAGGTACATGGATTTATACAGTATATACAGTGCGTCCACATTTGACAGGTTTTTTTGTTGTTGAAAGTTTGCTAAACAAAAATGTAGAAACCAAATAGAACAGTGTATAATTAATCAATTATCTTTTTAACTATGAACACAGACGCTCTGAAATGTTTTTTGTGCAATAACGAAATTTGTCTTTTTCAGATCAGCTACTACTGTATGAATAGACATTTTGTTAAATAGATAAAGCAGAGTAATGATTTATGCACAGCAGTGTCTCTTCCATGTACCCTCCAAACACAGTGAAGACTTTCTCTGCTTCACCCATCTCTTTCTTTTTTCTTTCCAATGTCATTGCTCATTTAGCCAGCTCCTCTTTCTTTGCCTCCTTCTTTTAAATTTTTTATGTTTTTAGAGGGCCTGTTTGTATCTCTGCTTAATATTAATTATCAGACTGACCCAGCCTCACTTTGAACTGGTGCAGCAAAGCGGGGTACCAAAAAACCCCAACAAAATTACCAAAATTACTCAGTTTGGCTTAAAAACAAAACAGAGCCAGCCACTTGGTAATCTGTCTGACCCTCCCTATGGCCATTCCAGCTTTACATTGCATTCACAACAGGATTGAACGCGAGCTTACCGGCTGTCTGTTCAGTCCTTCACTTTCTTGATACAAACTTTGCACAGCTCTTTCCACTGCCCGAGTAGAATTGCAGACTTTTTATTTCATGCTGCGGTCCTCCTGCTCAAACCAGGAAGTTTGTCTCACCTTATTTTGATTGATTGCTCACGCTCAAACAGCTGATGTAAACAAAGGGGGCGTTCGCCGCAACACCCACAGACTGCCACTCTGTGTCCCTGAGCAAGACCCTTAACCCCACACTGCTCCCGGGAGCCCCACGATGGCAGCCCACTGCTCCCCAAGGGGGTTAATGAGTTAATTTTGTTGCTCTGTACTTGTGACAGTGTAATTACAAAAAAACCTGGGAATAAAAATTGTGAAGCTCATCAGCAGTCTTCTTTGTCTCAGGTCCCTGGTGTGTAAATTCACTTTTAGAACCTTTTTATGAAATAAAAGTTGAACAATAAAGCTTCTTTAAAAATCTTGTCATATATGCATATGATACTGAGACAAAATAAGGTTGTTGTTGTTTTAGTTATCTATTTCTTTCTTTAATATTTTGGTGTTATATAACATTTTTTATCTGAGGTTTACATAGTGGGGAAAATTATGCAAAATCTCTGTGTCAATGCGCTCTGTACAGTGCCCTGAAATTACAGCCTTTCTATTTACAAATGATTAATGAAACAGCAGAACCGAGCTGTTTGATTCATGCTTTTCTAATGTCTGAATTATTGCTGATTACAGCTCCTCGGAAAGCCATGTGAAATGATTTAAAAAGATGCAGAGCTGAGAGCACTTGTACAGTTTGTTCCATCTTTCAAGCCCTCTCAGTCTCTTTCGCTCAGCACTGTTGCCACACTTTTCTATGAACCCACAAAACTACTTGGCTGCCATGGAGACAGACAATTGCTTTTAAAGTGCATGGGATGTGTCAGTCTGTTTGGCTGACTTCCATGGCCTTGTGGTGCATTTCAGAAGACCTAAAGGTCGATAGAGTGCATCATTATGTTTCCTTTTACAAAAGGTTTTTTTTTAACCTTGAGCAGGACCTAGATCTTCTCTTTTACAAATAAATGATAAATTGCTGCTTCCTCAATGGAAGCTGTTCTGCATCACGTTCAAGTATAAAAAGATACTTTTACCTTGCAAAGTTTTATGCTTCAGGTCAATCAAATCAAAATATATTCTTGAATTAATGCACAATCATGCCCCAGAAGATTAAGTACTTAAGAATTATATCTTGAAGATTCAAACCACCATGAAGAGAATGTAAATCTGTCAGTGGTGTGAAGATGGGGAATAAGATCCAAAAAGAGTCCAAATATCAGACTGCTTAATTAAAAGGCTCAAACTGAATATTTTCAATATGTACCATGATAAAGAAGGGAAGTAAATGGTATGATTTCTTAGTACAATGTGTATATATTTATATAAATATGTGCGTATGTGTAAGCTGTGTGTCTGTACTGTATGGGTTGCACTACTTGGTCTTCAATTCCGCTGGACTCTGTTGCGGCAGCCTTATCCTGCAGTTGTGGTTCCTATGTATTGTATGTATGTACATAATGTATGTATTGAATTGTATGTGAGTATTTATTTATATTTTATTCGTTTTTTGCGGGGAACTTAAGATTAGTGGCTTAGAAATCAAATAGGAAATGGGAAGTTATAATTGACTGAATGAGCTATAAGGAGAGGTGGTACCCCTTTCCAGACACTTTCCATTCATTAAATAATTCATTCATTAATATCTGAAGGTACAAATCCCTATAAGTTTATTTAGTTGTACATTTTTTTTTTATTAATTGTATTTATGTTGAACTATGAGAAGTACATGTAATGTGTTTTTGATTTTATCCTAATGCATATATACAGTGAGGAAAATAAGTATTTGAACACCCTGCGGTTTTGCAAGTTCTCCCACTAAGAAATCATGGAGGGGTCTGACATTATCATTGTAGGCGCATGTCCACTGTGAGAGACATAATCTAAAAAAGAAAAAAAAAACAGAACTCAAAATATATATATTTTTTTAAACTATTTACTTGTATAATACAGCTGCAGATAAGTATTCTAACACCTGAGAAAATCAATGTTAATATTTGGTCCACTAGCCTTTGTTTGCTATTATAGAGGCCAAACGTTACCTGTAATTTTCACCAGGTTTTCACACACTGCAGGAGGGATTTTGGCCCACTCCACCACACAGATCTTCTCTAGATCAGTCAGATTTCTGGGCTGTCGCTGAGAAACACTGAGTTTGAGCTCTCTTCAAAGATTCTCTATTGGGTTTATGCCTGGAGACCTGGGAGGCCATGCCCAGAACCTTGATATGCTTCTTGCAGAGCCACATCTTGGTTATCTAGGCTGTGTGCTTCGGGTCATTGTCATGTTGGAAGACCCAGCCTCGATCCATCTTCAATGCTTTATCTGAGGGAAGGAGGTTGTTCCCCAAAATCTTAGAATACGTGGCCACAGTAGTGTTGGTGTTCTTGGGATGGTACTCATCGTTCTTCTTCCTTCAAACACAATTAGTGGAATTATGTCCAAAATGTCCTAGTTTGGTCTCATCTGATCACACGACTTTCTCCCATGACTCCTCTGGATCATCCAAATGGTTATTGGCAAACTTAAGACGGGTCTTGACATGTGCTGGTTTAAGCAGGGAACCTTCTGTGCCATGCGTGATTTTTAAACCATGACGTCTTAGTGTATTACCAACTGTAACCTTGGAAACAGTGATCCCAGCTCTTTTAAGATCATTGACCAACTCCTCCCGTGTAGTTCTGGGCTGATTTCTCATCTTCCTTAGGATCATTGAGACCCCTCGAGGTGAGATCTTACACGCGGCCCCAGTCCGAGGGAGATTGACAGTTATGTTTAGCTCATTCCATTTTCTTTTTCACCAAGCTGCTTGGCAATGTCCCCGTAACCCCTGCAGCCTTGTGGAGGTGTACAATTCTGTCTCTAGTGTCTTTGGACAGCTCTTTTGTCTTGCTAATGTTAGTAGTTGGATTCTTACTGATTGTATGGGGTGGACAGGTGTCTTTATACAGCTGACAACCTCAAACCGGTGCATCTAATTTAGGATAATAAATGGAGTGGAGCTGCACATTTTGAAAGCAGACTTACAGATCTTTGAGGGTCAGAATTCTAGCTGAAAAGACAGGTGTTCAAGTACTTATTTGCAGCTGTACCATTCAATTAAATAGTTTTAAAAAATCCTACATTTTGATATGTTTTTAGATCATGTCTCTCACCCCTCCCCTCCATGATTGCTATCTGGGAGACCTTGCAAAAAAGCAGAGTCCTTCTGAACATATTGTTTACACACTTTTGATTATGGAAATCATCTGAAATAAATTCACTCAATCAATATTTCAGTTAACTTGACTAAAAATTTTAATGCTATAAAAGATAAATAAAAAAAATGTCAGCCTAGTTAATGGGCTTTGTTTTACTAAGCAGCTGTTCTATCTGTTTTCTTTGTAGCCCACTTAATACACGTGTGATGTTTTCTCTAGTTCAGAAGTGGTTTGAAACAATAATATATTTGTAATTCATGTCCTGGAAATGTTTATGAATGGTGGCCTGAGTCCATCTGTAGCCCAAGCATATACAGCTCTCCACTCTTAAAACTTTTTTTCTTTAAAACTTTCTCAAGGCTACAGTTATCCTTGCTGCCATGCAGTTTTTCATACAAAGTTACATCTTACATGTGTTTTTTTTTTTTTTTTTTTTTTTTTATAAACTCCAATATGTAATTCTGAGATCACATAGAGACATGGTCGGTAAACTCACTTTAGTTGCTTAACAAAGTAAAGCAAAAGCAAAAAAAAAAAGGAACTACATTTTTGAATTGGTATAAAAACGTGTTCTCGTTGGCAAAAAAAACATCAGATACAGATTCATAGCAAGTATTCTCATCATTGAACTTCTTCAGTTGTTGTCTTTTACCTGATCCCCATTTTATTAGAAAAACAGTCAAATGAATGACATGGTCCTAATTCATTCACTTACAATCTTATTTTGTTTGGTTTTTAATGGGTTTCCTTTATTCTCTTTCAGCCTGAGAGTGAAATATCCACCACAGCAGAAGATTATTCCTCAGAGGTTAGTTTATAATTCTCATAACATCAATTAATTGAGTTATATGAATTTTTTTATGCTGTCTAGTCAACAGAGCTTTGCTGTCTTAAAATGTTTGTGACCATTAATGCACTCTTATTGTTGGGAATGTGGGGTTTTGAAAATAAATGATTGAATTATTGAATTAAATCTTTTTATGGCTGAAACATCTAATGTAAAAATAGGTATTTCTTCTAATTCTAAGTGACATTACAAACATAACAAAAACTGAAATCTTTAGATTAATCCTATTTTAGTAAAACCAACAATTTATTGTTAATTGCATCACATGTAGACAGATAATGTTTGATAAACTGTTCTTAACCTTGCAGTCCCTTGTTTTGCAGACCTCCAGTTCTTATTGTTTAACTCCTCACATTATGAATTAACAGGTCAATGGGTGCCATGATGAGATGACAGAGAACCTAATGATGCCTTCAAAGGATATTATCTGGGTACAGTAATCTTATCAAGCAGCTCTGCTTTGGCTTCCCTAACAAACCTGGTGCTTAACATCTTTCTGCAAGGTTTTCACTAACCACAGCTGCTCCTCGCTGCCCTTTTTATACGTTAGGCATGTCATGTACTGTTCTGTTGGTGATTTATGAAAAAACAAGAAAGAGAAAGCCCAAATGTCCCAGAAGGTCAGGATGGCACAGAGCTTTGTGACATTGCAGAAGTGTAAATTACCAGTGAAAGCTGCAGTAATGAGGGGGTGAGGATGGTGAGAGGGCAGACACTGCTTGGAAGAGAAAAGGGAAAGTTTTAGAAGAGGAGCTGCTCTCTTTAGATATACTACCGAACTGTTTGAACAGACACAGATGGAGATGTTGAATGTAGAAATGTCTTTAAAGCACAACTACAAGTTTTGGCATGTTGGAGTGGTTTTCTTGAAAGGTATTTTTTAACATAATAGAGATTAAAATAACAATAATGTTTTTTTCATTGGATATAAACAACTCTTATCATTTTTTTTTTGCAAAATCATAAAGTTTGCATTATTTTTATTACCACAAATGCAGAAAAATGAATCAAAGTATAATGGATTTATATGTAGGTGTATTTCATACTTGTTGTCAGTTACAGTCACAAACTGCAATATTTTTTATTTAGTTGAAAAGCCAATGCAAAGAATTTTATAACTGTGTGATGATAGGTTTGTTAGATTTCAATGTTCTTAAATAGAAATGTAAAAAGTGTGATGTGCATTCAGTCTTTCAGGCAGCCTCTACCAGCTTTCCCCATTTAAAAGGCTCATATCTTTTTTTGAAAATGGATAAATCTCTTTCACAGTGATGTAAAGTCCGATGTGAACATTAACTTTCTGTTCTTTTATGGATTATTTGTTGGATTCAGGCCTGGACCATTCTAACACAAAAACCCATTGTAGCTTCAGTTGTATTTCAGACTTGTTTTCCTGCTGGAATGTGAACCTCAGTATCCATTTTCTCTTTGCCTCTAACATGTTTTTTTTCCTCCTGGATGCCTTGTTTTTAACTCTATTCATCATCCTCCAGTACCAGATCCGACCAGCTGTCTGTTAACTCTCAGAATAGCCAACCCCATGTTGTTCTCTGTGGATGGTGTGTTCGGGGTGAAGCTTTGTTTCACTTTACACTCCTGTTTTCATCTGACCAGGGGACCTTCTTCTACAGGTGTTTCCTAAATGGCTTTGAGCTAGCTGTAAACTCAGTGGGTTTATTTCCACACTGGTTTTGCTACTCTTTCATTACATTGAGATGAGTCCCTGACCCTGACCAGCTCCTTCAAAGTAACCATGGGCCTCGGCGCTTTAACCATTAATGTTCTCATACCCAGCTGTTTAGATGGAGGGCTATGTTTTGGTAGGCTTGGTGTTGTGCCATCTTTTTTCCATTTTTATATTTAAAATGTTCAAAACTCAATACTGTTGCAAAATAGCATATAAAGGGAAAAAGAAAATACTTTATTATAAAAGGATACTTGGAAAATGTTATTAAAAGGATATATACATTGAAAAAAAGAATGACAATGAGATTATTCAGTAAGAGAAAATGTATTACGTATGATATAGTGTACAGCAGTCCTTGGGACTCACTGCCCTGCATGTTTTAGATGTGCCTCCAGCACACCTGCATCTAATGGATGCACTCCCACCTCAGCAGCCACCTCAGGGTGCAGGGGCCGGCTAATCACCTAAAGAATGCAGGACAGTGGGTCCTAATGAGGTTTGAACACCACTGGTGTACACTTATACAAAAGTAGCATCGTCAGCTATGATTATGTAAAGACGCTTCAAAATGTGCATGTAGACATTTTATAACCTAAAAATGCTTCAAATAGTCTCCCTGATCTGTCCACTGTGATTATTGATGTTCTCTAACAAACCTTTGAAACTGTCAAAGCACGCTAAGATCTAGTTACTTGCTTTTAGACTGTGTTTACTAATTAGGCACCATTTAAGGACATATATTGTTAAGTTTAATAAGAGGAATCGTAGTAAGTGAGGTGAGGAACACAGATAATGTTTTCCTGACTTTTATTTGTAAAAAGATAAAAAAAAAAAAAAAAGCATTTCAACTTTTTAAGGCCTCCCTTAGTTGCTGTAAGTTAACAGTCAGTTTAATCTCAGCCCTGAACAGTCAGACTGCTCTTTCAGGTGATTATATACAATTCTTGTAGCTCACTGACCTGTCTTTTTCCACAGACTAACTTTCAGCTCCTCTAACAAAAGCATTTTTGCTCTTTGGTGGTGGCTTAGTTAGTTTGATAGATCTGTCAGTAAATCTTTTAAAAGCTGGGATATTGTTTCTGCTTAGGAGGAGGTGGACACCCTGCAGCAGCTCACAGAAGGCCAAAGGGTTCAAGAAATGGAGGATGCTCTTGCAGCTAAAACCCTGGCTCTGGAAGAGCTGAGTCAAGAGCTCGAAGAAATCAGATCTGCATTTGGAGCCGAAGGTGTACAGCAGGTATATGTTTTATTATTTTTGATTTATGGTATTTAAATATGGTAGGAGAGGCAAAAAGACTTGAATGAAAACTTTTAATATATTTGAACTCTGTGAAAACCTCCGAAATAAAAGCCTCCTTGCTGCAAAAGGGGCGTAATCTTTTCACACTCTATATTTGCGTTTAACAAATAAATATTCTGTTCTATTCAATTATCATGTAATGAAACATAAGCCATAATACAATTAAACAATCAATGGGGCTAGTGTGGTTTTAAGGAGTGATAATCTTTACTTGATTACATTTCTTTTTCTTAAAGATTTATTTAATACCTCGTAAATGTTTTATAAAATGTTATTATTTTTCTCTTTCGATCCATCTCTGTATGACTGCTCTGATGTCTTATGTTTTTAACTCCATAAAACCCTCATTAAACATGCAGCTGCAGGACTTTGAAGCAGCTCTAAAGCAGCGAGATGGAATCATCACCCAGCTCACATCCAACCTTCAGCAGGCTCGTGAGGAGAAAGACGAGATCATGAAAGAGTTTTTAGCACTGACAGAGCAAAGCCAGAAACTTCAGATCCAGTTCCAGCAGGTAGGAAATAAAATGTACTCTCCCAATAGCTTATTTGTAATTCTTCTAATTAGATTTGTATTTTCTTGTTAAATAAACTTGTAGTGATCTGTAATAAAACGATAATTCTGACCATCCATTACAGCTGCAGGCCGGAGAGGCGCTGAGGAACACCAGCCACAGCAGCACTGCAGCAGATCTCCTGCAGGCAAGACAGCAGCTTGTTCAGTACCAGCAGCAGCTGGAGGAGATGAGCGCAGAGGTCAGAGAGCACCAGGACAAGAGCATCAAACAGCTGCAGAACATCAGCCACCTCCAGCAGAAGCTGAGTGAGGTGGAAATGGTGAGAACTGCCACACATTAATGCTTTGAGGGTTGCAGCAATCATCTAAACAACAATCTCTCTTTAGTCAGGGAGAAGATCAGAGGAGTCATTTTCACAAAAGATAAATGAAAAGGATATGCTGATTGCCGAACAAGAAAAGGTTATTTGTCGTCAGCAGCAGTTGCAAAGAGAAGTGGAGGAAGAGTTTGCACAAACATTGGAAGATAAAAATCAGTTAATTTCAGAACAAAATGCAATAATCAAAGAACATGAGCAGTCATTGACCCTCATCAGACAGGAGCTCATTCAAGCAGGAAGGACTAGAGAGGACAAAATCATGCAGCACCCTGATGAAAAAGACCTAATTATTGCAGAAAAGGATAGGGTCATATCTGAGCAAGATTCCTCTCTTATTCAGTTAAAAGATGAGCTGGAAAACTCAGAAAAACAACTACATGAGCTCCAGCTCCAAGTCTCATTTAAGGAATCTGAGCTTGAAAAATGCCTGGATGAGTTAGGAAGCACAAGATCTGAATTAATAAGCTGTAGAAGTGAAATGGAGAGTTACAAACTAGAAATGGAGAAAGAACAGAAAGAGTTGGAAAGCTGTAAGAGTGAACTGGCTGCCTCCAGGCATAAAGAGCGAATGTCATCCAATGAAATCATGCAGCTCATGGGCACAGTGGAAGATCTACAAAAACGCTGCCACCAGGGGAGCATTGCAGATAGCGACTCCATCCAAAGAATGCAGGAAGAGACCGCAAGGAAGCTGGAACTTCTCAGGGCCGAGCTGGATGAAATGTATGGCCAGCAGATCGTTCAGATGAAGCAGGAGCTCAATCTGCAGCATGCAGGGACAATTCAGCTAATGATTCAGCAACAGCAGGCTGAGGTTGAACTTTTAAAAGCAAATCAATCTCAAAGTTCAAATCTCAATAAAGGAGAGGTTGAAACCCTAAATGCAAGAATTAGGGAACTGCAGGTGGCTTTAGAACACTCTGAAGTAACGCATGATGAAACTAGACATGAGCTGAGTGCAGTTGTCCAGGAGAAGTCAAAGCTGCAGGCCCAGATTGAGGATCTTCTTCTGGATCTAAGTACAGCAAGGCAAGAAGTGGAGCAGGTCTCCACCAAGCTTACCTCTCAGGAAACTTCCCAGAGTGACCTGCAGCGCCTCCAGGAGACCATCCACACTCTGAGGAACGAGCTGTCCGCGGCTCAAGAAGCTGCACTGGAAGCGGAAACCAAACACGAATCTGAGATCACTAACTACAAGATTAAGCTGGAAATGCTTGAAAGAGAGAAAGACGCAGTCCTGGACCGGATGGCGGAGTCACAGGAAGCGGAGCTGGAGCGTCTCCGGACGCAGCTTCTGTTCAGCCACGAGGAGGAGCTGACAAATCTCAGAGAGGACCTGCAGAGAGAGAGCTTCCTGAATACGGAGAACCTCCTCAACGAAGCAGCAATCAGACACGAGAAAGCCTTGAATGACCTGCGGGTTAGTTACGCTCAGCAGCTGGAGTTGTTACAGAAAGAGAAGACGAGTTACGCCACAGAAAGGGAGGAACTTTTGCAACAGATTGATAGGCTCCAAGATGATCTGAAGCTCACTCTGCAAAGCTCTAAAGCAGATGAGCTGGTCCGACAGCTCCAGGAGCTTCAGGGTGAACTGGAGGTACTTAGAAAAGATGCAGAGGAAGGAGTCAGAATCCAAAATCAAGTCCAGTCGTTACTAAAACAGACAGAGGTTCTGGAAAACCAGAAAAGCCAAATCGAACAGACACTAAAGGAGCATGAGCAGGAGAGGGAGACTTTGATTAGGTCTAATAACACTCTAAGAGAAGAAATGGAGTCGAAACATTTGATATTGTGTGAAATCACAGCACAGAGCAATCAGTTCCAGCAACAGGTTGCTGAGCTGCGTGAGGAGATCGAGAAACAGAAGAGCACTTTCTCTTTTGCAGAGAAGAATTTTGAAGTGAACTACCAGGAGCTTAAGGAGGAGTACACTAGTCTCGCAGAGGCAAAGACACAGCTTGAAGAGAGGACACTGAGGGAGACGCTCGAATTTGAGGCAAAGATTGCACGCCTTCAGTCGGAGATCCGAGACCTCGAGGAGCGGAGCGAGGATATGAAAATGGAGGAGACAAAAATGGAAGAGGAAGCTGCTGGTGATCTGATGGAGAAGCTAAATGTTACTCTGGATGAGAATAAGAGCCTTGCTGATAGGCTCTCTAAAGTTACAGAGCAGTTGATGGTTACAGAGACCAAAATGAGGGAGTTGGAAGAAGATCTGGTCAAAGCCAAGCAAGAACATTCAAGGATCATCTCCAAAACTGAAAGCCTCACAAAGGAACTCGAAAAAGAGCAGCAAACTGAGAGTGAGCAGAAACAATTGGTGCAGGAGGAAGAGCAAACTGTTGAGCCAGTTTCTTCTTCAGGGGATCATCACAATCAGATTCAGTCTCTACAGGAGGAGATAAAAGCTCTACAAGCTCGCTTATGTGCAGCTGAAGCAGAGAGAGACGGAGCTCTGCAGACTCCGGAGCTCCACAGGCTCTCGTCTCTGGCAGCAACACGGTCCTCAGGGGAGGGACCCATTGAGGGACGATCCTCCCCTCAGAAGCAGGCACCCTCAGGGTCAAGCAGGCGCAAAAGACGGCAGAGGTCAAAGCAGGAGCGCAAAGGCAGCTCCGCCGCTTCAGACGGTAGAGAGGAGCGACACAGGGAGGAGGAGGAGAGAGCTAAAAGTGCTGCAGAGGAGGAGATGCTGCCTCAGACGCAGAGCCGAGTTATGTCATGTTCACCAGAGAGGGCCGGTAAGGAGGACTCCGCTGATGGGTACCAGGGAGACGGAGCTAGAGACTACAGCAGCGAAGCGGTGAGCACCCACATGTTGCTGCTTTTTTTCTTTTGCTCTTTGAAGTCTGAACAAATGAAACACCGTGGAAACAGCATCACTTTGAATTCATGTAGTTTGTTGCTTTATCTGAAATGTAAAGAGTGAATTCAGAACCAGATCAGGCACTGATTGTTTCCCTTTTCATAGAAAATATGACTCCAGCATTTCAGATCTGACAGATTTGATGTTGACTGTAAATTGCCTTAGAGTACGGAGGCTTGTTTTGAAAGGCAACGTTTAGCAGGCAGACGGCTTCCTTTAAAGACGCATTTTTACAATTTTGTTGCCAGAAAAACCGCACACGGCTCTGGCTGCATGTTAAATTCATGCGTGTGGACTGACATGAAAAGAAGCTTTGTACTGTTTCTTTTACTTTTCTTTTTTCTATGCTCTGCTTTCCCTTGATGTTTCTCGCCCTCCAACTGAACGCCAGCTGAGAACAGAATAAACACGAACAAGTCTGCTTACAGCTTTGAATCATTCCTATTGTGTAGAAATGTGTACATTCTAGTTTCTCTCCATCCTGCAGGGAGTGAAGGGTTTGAGGTGAGAAGCCATTTTAACCCAAGTCACTTTATGTCCGTGTCAGCGCCAGCCGTGCCGCAAACACACAAAAGGCAAAAGATTGTGTACAGTGTTTGTCTGCCATCTCACATCTGTGCTTTGTGATGCTTTAGTCACCTCCTGGGGTGGAAAAGCCGTACCTGCCGCAAGATCGATGAATCGCCTTCATTAATTGTTTAAAACTAGTTTTAGTTTTCCTTTTTAATGAGTTAAAGAGGAAATCATTGCTGATAATAAAGGGAACTTCTGTTACGCCTCAGGAAGTGATCCTCAATGGTGCATTTAAACCTCTATTCATCATTGTCTTGTTTCTTATGCATTTCTAACCTGTTGACAAAATATTCTCAAACCTTAAGCTATTTTCATACATTTTAGTGTTTTTACTGGGATTTAATGGGATGCAAAATTGGGCAGTCAATATTTTATTTTCCCAATACAAATCTAAACATGTGTTGTTCATTTTTATAAAGTCTGATACCCCTAAATAAAGAAAAATTGGATTTCAGAGATTATTTTATTTATGTGAAGGCCTCTCATGAAAAAACAGAAACATGAAGGAAAAAAGGAAGTTAAAAGCAGCACCGAGGTACACAAAAGTATCAGAAGCTTTAAAAAAAAATGTCAAAACACTGTTCAGTCCTTCATTAAAAAAAACCCTAAAGAAACAGGCGTCCAGCTGTACTGCAGGCCAGGCAAGGAGATCCACTGGTGGGGAGAAGCGTTGACAGGAAAACTTTAACCATGGGCTACATAAATCTGGTCTTCTGGAGGAGAGGAAGAGAAAAATGTTGAATCACGCACCTAGGAAGTCATGAGGGTTCCGATGCTTCTCAATAATCCAGGTTTAAAAAATCCAGAAAAGGTTAAGTTTAGTCTTCTAGACAAGTTCTTCACTGTTATTCAACCTTGGAGGAAGCCCTGAAATTCTTCCACATAATTACTGATGAGTCGGCAAAATTGTAAGAAAGTGCTTCTGTCAGATAAGGCAGTTTTTTTATCTGCATCCAAAAAAAAAAAAAAAACAGAACACTGTGAAACATAATGGTGGCAGCATCATTCTGTGGGAATACTTTTCTTTAGTGGGAATATGGAAGCTAGTTAGGGATGGGAAACAGTATTGAGCAAAATACATATCAGTCCTGGAAGAAAGCTTACTAAAGGCTTCAATTGACTGCAGTTTTCTGTAGGACTAAAATACTTTAGATGAAAGCATATTCCTGTTAGAATGTACTTATCAAAGGAGAACTGGTAAAAACAAATTCAGTCTTTAGTTGTGTAAAGCTGGTAGAGATTTATCCTGAAAGACCTGCGGGAAAAAGTGGTTGTACAAAGCAATGAGTCAGAGCACTGAATACAAATATGCACCATGTTTCTTAGACTTGTAAGAGACTTGGGGGAAAAAATGAAACCCATATAAAATGTGTTTTCTTGTTTTCATTATATGCTGCTCTTATTTGCCATCACATAAAACCCTGTTACAATACAGAAAATGATGTGAAGCAGTTGAATGGTTCTGAATATTTTGCAAGGTACTGTATCTTTAATATTGTTCGAGTATTAGTAATAAAGGTGTGTTCGTTGTGCTTGCTGATTTAGGTGAGCAGACAGGGGATGGGCTGCCATACAGAGCGTGTTATGTGTCAGGGAGCAGAAGAGGAGGAAGAGACCTCTGAGCATGTAAATGTCACTTAAGCTCACATCCTGCTCTTTGTCTTTATGTTGCTTTGATGCATCATTCAGAGAACTGTAAAGGTTGATAGATGAGGGGGGGGGTCTACTGTAAAGAGTGTTTCAAACTGAGTCCTTTTTACTAAAGCAGAATCGTTCTGAATTATTTTACTGCTTTGTCGATACACCTGAAATTTACATGCAGAGCACACTCCATGCAGGATTTTAGTTTGAGCAGAAAAAGGCACATTTAATTGCAGAGCTTTTTGTTGTGCTAGTCGACAAACATCAATTTAATTGCATCGGCATTAGCATCAAAGGAGCCAGAGACTTTGAGAGAAGTGTAAAAGAATGGAGCAGCTTTGTGAGAAAAGTAAAGGAGGAATGAAATGACATGAAGTCACAGGTTCAATACGACCGCTTAGAACATGGGGAAGCAGACAATGATTTTCTCTAGGGCTGCCTCCAAAGTGAGAGAGATTTCCTGCTTGTTTAATCAGTAAAGAGTCCACAGTATTTAAGTAAGTCTGGTTTAATAACCTCAACTGCAATTACTGACTTGGACGCTTATCTAGCTGAAAATGTCAAGCGACTAACGTTGAAGACAAACTCTGAAATCATCTTTCTCTGCTTCCATTAAGACCCTAACATCTGTTGCATAGCACATCTTTACTTGTAAAATCAAATAGATCTCGCACAGTCCCTTTACTAAACTACACAAAATGAACTTATTGTTCTGAATAAAATATTTAAATGTTTTCACAAAAAATTCTAGGGTCATGATATAGGCTACATTCAAGCAGTTTTTAAGGAATACTTTCAAGTATTACAGTAAAGGTTGAAAGCCCCTTTTAAATTAAGAGTAATATATTCTTTAAGAGTTTTTCCTCTGTATAATTAATTTGAAAAATAGACTTAAAGTATAGCTAAAAGCGACTTGCATAGGTGTGCATACTCTTAATTGTATACTTTGTTAAACCTCATTGTTATCCAGTCTCGGCTTGGCAATGGCTAATATGATACTCTGAGCAAAAATATCACAATTTCAGTGTATTAAGATATTAAGATTGCGATTATGTCAGATAAAATGAAATGATTGTTGAATTGTAGGCTGATCTTCAGCATCACTCTATAGTCATATTTACCTTTGATTGTTGTTGGAAGCTGATTTTTGATCACAGGTGTCATGCTGAAATTTCTCTCCCTTGCAGACTCTCACTCCATTTTAAGTGAACATTTGCACTAATGTTTTTTGGCACCTATATATAAATTGTTATATGCACAAAGAAGCAACGGAACAAGTGTGAAAAAGTGTACACAAAGGGAACGGAAATGGTACTTGTTCCTTTGACTGAAAACCCATAAAATATGCGTTCAAACAACTCCAATGTGTTTGGTTTAGCAATTGTGACCGGCACAATCACTAAACTGTCTTTTTTAGTTGGACTGTCAGGGTCAGTTCTACAGTGGTTCTCATATTTTATCTACGCGCAGCTTTAGTGTTACAGCTAAGGTCTGAGTCTGCCGATTTGTTTTGTGGAGTGCCTCAAGGTTCAGTTTTGGGCCCTGTTTTATTTTTGTTGCATTTGATCCCTTTGAGAAAGATCATCCAACGGTTTAGTGATGTTTCCTTTCACCTATTTGCTAATGACATCCAGCTTTACTGCTCGTTTTTAGCTGTCTGAAATCTAGAAGCTAAATTCTTTTCTCCATTGTCTAGTAAAATTTAAGCAAATGGCAAAGGGATAACCCTCTGCAGCTAAATACAGAGAAAACAGAAACAGTGGTTATTGCCCCTGATTAATCAATTGCAGGGATTAAACAGTACTTGGTTGACTTAGGTCAGTCGCCTAAGCCAAGTCTTAGAAAGTTGGAAATTATGTTTGGCAGTGTCATTAGTGGAGCACCGTTTGCAGCTGAAAAACTGCTAATCTCAGGAATATCTCAATGAATGATCTGGAACTTCTAATTCATGCTTTTGTGTCTTTGTGTTTAGACTATTGTAATAGATTGGTTTTTAATATCTGAACTAAAACGAGCTCTCTTTACTGCAATTAGTGCAAAACTCACGAAAACTTCACGAGTAATTTTTCGCAGTCGCGGTCATACAAACATAAAAAGTCGGTAAGGTACCCAACAGGAGATATGCATAGTGTAGAGCATATGTAGATTTGACCAATCAGAGTCCTCCTGTCTGGGGCACTGTCTCCGGTCACCTAAAATTTGGGAGAGGTGCAGCAGGGTGTCTGCAGAGGGGGCGGGGACATCTCTGCGTTCACCGCCACACCTACGCAGACGGTCTTGTTTCCAAGTATAAATCAGCCTTTATTGACTTTATTAAGACCACATCTGTGCATGCCTTCTGTAAAAGGGCCAAAACAGGGGAAAGTTCAGGGTGTTCCCCTCATTCAGCCATTGTTTAAGTTATAGAGGTAGCAGCTACACAGGAGAACAAAAAGGAAGGGGTTAACGTATAACAGCTGTTCACAACCTAAGCACTTTCTCTGCTGAGATTTATCTAAAAAAATAACGCATATACCACAGGAACATTATCATAGAAAACTTTCACTGCGTTTTTACCGTACAGGAGTATCTTATAAAACCAGTACAGGCCCATACTTAGTCTCAGCATTGAGTCATTTTGGATTTATAGAAAGAACTAGATTGACTGTTTTACATATGGGGTGTCCCAATTTCATAAATCCGTCAGATATCAACGAAAATCTGAGTATCTGATTATGTTGGCCTGGATTTCAAACATCCGATAAAAGCACGCCAATGCAAGCACTTGGCTCCATTGTTTAGTTCATACCAGAATTTCTATCCAGCAGTTAAATTTCTGCATCAGTTATTACTCAAAGCTACAGTATGGGTATCATATTAAAAATGACAACCCTAATTTTAGTTCTACTTTCATTCCATACAAAGTTTTAAGTCAGGACAAGGTTACAAAAAATATTATCATTATACACTATAAAGTCCATCTGGTGTTAAACTAACAGAAAAAGAACATCACACCAGCAGTGAAACATGGTGGTGGTAGGATTATGATCTGGAGTGTCTTTGCTTTCTCTGGTACTGGAAATCTTTGCTAAAATTGATAGAACCAGGAATTTCACAAAAAAAACCAAAAAGCCTATTCTGAAATCTATTTAGGATGTGGATCTTTTCCTTAACAAGGCTGTTCATAGTTAATATGCGTCCATGGTGATGCTGAAGACTGACTGAAGACTTGAACTTACCAAGGTCAACAGATACAGCTATTAGGGCAAAGGGACATTTGCTTCCAAACGTAGGGCTAGGTTGATTTGAAAGCTGGATTTTTTTTCCTATTCAATTAATTAATCTTTTTTCTAATGATAAAGAAATGTGAAATGTTCTCATTAAATAGTATTCAAACAAAAAAAGTAGCGCTCTACTTTAAGCCCAGTTCATTAAATGGTTTGAAAGCATTTCCTTTTCAATGACCTTACCCTTCCAGCAAATATTTTAATTTAAGTAATTCTGGTTGCAGTAGTGGTTGTGTGTAACTACAAAGAATCAAAACACAACATTCGTCCATCTGCTTCTTCTCCACTGACCTTCTCTCATCTGCATGTTTTATTTAATCACGAACATCTGAGCTGCTTGTCAGAGGAGAGGCTCTCCTCCACACCCTCAGATGCGGTGCTGAATGGGGTGATCGTGTCATAACACAGCGTTTTAAAAACACGGCCTAATTAAGATGTAGAGTGCACTTTAAAGCTTTTAATATCAAAGGTAACAGAATCACAAATTTGTTCTAATGCATTATGTATCATTATGGAAAGAAGCCTTGTCTTGTGCTTTTTGTTATTTTGTCCTGAAGCGATAATGGCAGAGCTCTCCTTCTGACCACAATGGGTTCTGAGCCACATAATTGTTGTAGAAATTAGATTTTTTAAATTATGTTTAATCTTTTATTTAATCTTATTAGCAAATGGATGCTCCATAGTTTAATCTTCTGATTAGTCATATGGTTGATGTCATATATTTTACACCTTCCTTACTAAATAGCTATTTCTATATTTAATAGTAGACTAAATCATTTACTTTCTGTACTGTAGTACAGCATGCTTTAGTGTTGATTGGTCTGTTTTAATATGTGATCTCCTCCTCATGTGCTAAGGATGAGGGCAGGCTGCAGCTGGAAGCTCAACACATCAGCCTTTCTCAGATCCACGCCGCTCAGCTGGAGCTGCTACAGGAGGAGACAGAAGCCAGCAAGCACTCTCTGGAGCTGAAACTGCAGGACTTGAGAGACCAAAGCAGCCAGGGTAAATCTAAGCTCTATACGAAATGCCTTTGATCTGCAAGCAGCATTTCATAAATTTGTTTGTGATAAACGTTGGATTTTTTGAAGAGTAGTTTGTCTGTTGTTTTGCTTTCTAAGGTGGTGGAAAAGTCTCCAAATACATGATCGAGGCTGTGTCGGAGGAATGCAGTGAAATAATTCTGGTAATTTTAAACTAATGAGAAGACCCAGCTTGTTTTTATTTTATTTTTTTATTTCTATAATTCGTTAATCTTGTCTTTGTGTATGTGGTCTATTTCTAGGCGTTTCAGAGGATTTTTGGCAAAGAGTTTTTGGAGAATGTCAACACTGCAGGCCTGTCGCTTATTTCAGAGGAAGGACCAGCAACTAGTGAATCCGCCTCCGTTATTCAGGAGGCCAGAGGTACACCCTTCGTCCAATTAGTTAAATAACTACAAATTACATTTTCTGAGTATGTTTAGCATTTGTATTTACCTTTTTACTTTATAACCGTTTATTCTTCTAGAGTTATACAGCAGTCTTTGGCAGGTGAGGGAGAAAATTAAGCGTGAGCATGATCGTCTTTCTCAGCTTCAAGCTCTACTGAGATCTGATGTGAACAAGGTAAAAATGCACAGATTCATAAACGTTACGCCACAAGTTTGATTACTGCATTGGCTTTAATATTTCATTCTACATCTATATTTATATGTAACTGCTAAATCTGACTTTATTTTAGGCAAATTATAAATTAATTGGGCTCTTTGAGAAGTGTTTCTATAGCATGTAATGTAAAGTGGACTCTGTTGTAACTGCAGAGCAATGTTTATGAGAAAAACTCTTATCTAATCTCCTGATTTCTAGATGAATGACCTGCAGATGGCCTATGATGAGCTGAAGATAAACAGTGAGAGGCAGCTCTCTGACCTGCATGTACAGCTCGCCACAATAAGCGGAGGTAAATCTGTTCTCCTCTCTAATTCTGAAGAGAAGGAGGGGAATGTGGAGGTGTCATTGCTGGTTGAAGAAGGACCAGTTTGGGATACAGTACCAAGACACTAATAATGGTTGACCTGGAATCCTTTCATGATCAAAGTTTTTTCCAGATTTTCCTATGGTCACTATATTTAATCTGAGACAGCTCAAAGCTGCAGAGAGTATTCCTGACATAAAGCTGCTCTCACAGCTCTAAATTAACTACTGTAATGCCTTTTTAGTGTTTGCATGGTTTACTTTGGTCACTTTTTTGGTATGTTGCATGTATAATGGCTGAAGGACAGAAAAAATATTGTGTGCTGCATCGTTAAGACATAATTGCATTTGTGACATTGTCTAGTCTTTTTTATGTTTATTAAGGCTGAAATAATGAACTGCTTTAATCGATTATTGAAATAATCATCAACTAATTTAGTAATCTATTAGTTATTAACTGGAATATAAAATCTTAAACATGCCTTTAGCTGATAGAAAAACCCACTTAGTGGAGTAAGTAATCCAACATTTCAAAAATATATATTCAAGTTTTGCATTCAAGATTAAAAACCTTTTTCATCTGTTAATATGCTCTTTCCAAAACTCCTCAAGTGGAAAACTTTTAGTTTAACCTGGTTTAATACTGTAAAAAAAAACTTTATTAATTGAAAAAAATAATCAATAGATTAATCGATTTGCAAAAATAATGGTTAGTTGCAGCCCTAATGTTTGATCGTCTGAAAATCCAGGTCTGAAAATTCAATACTGTGAACTAATTAACTCTAATTGGCCAATTAATTAGAAGCAGAATTAATCAGGAAGCAGAGTCAGCAGCCTTGTTATGTCTACCACTTCAAGCATTCTGCATGCTGAGGTGAGGGGATCTTCTTTAGTTCAGACAAATGGTCAGCACAGCTTAACATGTGTTAAGTGTTTTGATAGCTAGGTGGTTGTTTTAGCATTTGGCTTCATTTGATTGCAGTGGCGTTTAATGCAATATGTGTTAGGCCTCTCAGTTGCAATAACCATGCCACACATACTGTTTAGCATGTCCAAGCTTGATGTGACTACAGATTAAATTACTGACTCTTACTTTGGTAAAACATGATGGAATCTTTCATTGTGTTTAAAACCTGAACTCTGCTTTGAGGAAAAAATATGTATGTTCTTAAATATGATTATCTTTGGATTTCAGCTTGCAGGTTTTTGTATGTTCAATCTAAAGGGGAACTTCTAATCACAGGACATCCAGCTTTCTTAAAAACTTGCAGAAGATGCATGAATGACCATGAGATGCATGTAAATTAAATTGCAATCTTTGCTATATCAGGAGTCCGGTTTACATTTTTTAATCATTACTGCATTTTAAAAATTTTCTATTTCCTATTTATTCATGGGTTCTGATAGTGTACGTATATTTCTGACCAAAGAAAACTAACTGAGCCAATTGGTGTTTTGAGTTAAGACTGTGCAATTGGCCCATGCTTGTAGAAAAGCCCTCTTAATCAAAATCTAAATTTAGAGTGATTATCTGACGTTTATATAACATTAATTGAAAGCATTAAAATAAAATGGGCTTTCTTTGATATTTATGATGATAATTATTCATTTTTAATAAAGCTATTTTAGTGTAAATCTCTGAACACTGACCTAATCCCGATTGTTTGTGAGTTCAGACACTTGAAGAGTAATGATTGCCTGGACTCAGAGATTCATCTTCTGGAAACCAATGATTTAGATATTAAGCTTTGTTTAGTTGGAAATCTTGCCTTATAGCCAAGCATACATGTAGTCTTAATACTTTAAGATAATTTAATAGAAGCCTATTTTAAAGGCTTCAGACCTTGAGATGGCTGTTGGTATTATTTTATTTTTCTAGCAGCCTTTTTCAACACAGATTCTAAATAATGATTCACAAGTCGCAAAAATGTAAGATGATAATTAAAATTTTTCATTATCTCTTGTTAGTTATTATAGTTTTACTGCATTTATTTTCCTTTTCCCAATCATTGCTTAATAATTTTCTGTGTTTTTTTTTATATTACATTTCTGTATTTTAACCTAGAGCTTTTCTCTAGCTAAGGATGTTAAATTACAGCTTCATTTCTATTCTATCAGATCTGGGGGAACAGGCAGGGGAATCGGGCTCGACTTCAGTGGAGTTACAGAGGCTGAAGGCTGAGGCTCAGGTGAAGCAGCTCCAGCTGGAGGAGAGCCACCGACAGGAGATGGAGCGCCTCAGGGCTCACTACCAGCAACAAGCGGCGGAGACAGAGGAGCGCTATGCCACAGAGCTGTTTGTTTTGCAGCAACGATTGCAGGAGTCTGCAGGAGCTCAGACTTACTACAGGTGATTGCACTGACGACATTCATCTTCTATTTATTGCCTACAGAATTTCTTTTTTCAAATCAAGGCATTTTGAAATGCAATAAAATATTTTAACTTGGCTCAACTACATTAAGAAGTAAGATTAGAATCAACCAGAATTATACATTATAGTCCTACATTGGGGAAATCCAGGTGGACCAGCAGCAAAATATAGTAAATACAGATGTAAGCAAGAAGATGAAGCATCCAGATACACATGAGGGTGAAAAATATAAAAAACTGAAAATAAGGGAAAATGTTTCTTTCTTTGGTCAGTGAAAGGAAAAAAAAATCTCAACACAAATGTAATGTCGATCGTTGCCATTTCAATTTTAAAACTACTTTTTTAAATAAAACAAATTAATCGTTGCTCATGGAAATATATTGTGTATGTTCTGCAAATGTCTTTACTTATTTCCTTGTATTTCATCTTTATCATCTCTAAAGAGGGCAAGATAGAAGCAGGTAGGCTTGTTCAAAGCAAATCATAAATATATTAAAGGCTTTAACTTGTACATTTCCTAAGACTTTACATTAGTGTTATTGTATAATTTCTGAACTACAAATAATCGTATTTCTCTTTTTAGGTTTTTCAACAAAGTAAAAAAATATTATAATTATAATCCCATAATAATAATATCCCATAATTGTACAAATTGAAGAGCACTTCGGAGTGTATATATATATATATATATATATATATATATATATATATATATATATATATATATATATATAAAAAAAGCTATAATAAGATTGGACAACCTTACTAGCAAACCTAAAGTAAACAAGATGTCCTCATTAACTATTTCTTTCTTTGTTAAATAAACTAAATATAACAAACTTATTATCCTGCTGTTTTCTTTGAATTGGAAAACCTTAATTCTTTTTAATTCATATTTTATATAGATATGATTAAAAACCACAGTAAAGCAGCTAAACCTCCCATGCATGGAATTTACTGTTTTACTGTTGTCCCTTACTGCCCCCCACTGTTTTATTTTCGAACTATAAAATAAAAATAAAGTTTTACTTGCCTGGTAATGCTTATAAAAAAAACATAATAAGCCAGACAAATATAATGTTATATAGTGTGATCAAATTTTGCTCTTATGAGATAAATATTTTATTGTCCCAGAGAAAATTGTCCTGGTAAACAATTGTTAGATACTTATTTAAGGATTTTGGGTAGTGGCAAGTATTATTCAATACTTTATTCAATAGTTTTTTTGTGGTATTTAGAAAAATGTTACCCTTGAATAAAAAAAAAAAAATGCTTCAGGCTTTCTTTATTTCTGTGTTAAATACTTAATAGGAAACAATTATAGTTATCTTCTTCATATTAAAGGAAAAAGCCAAACTTGTTGCCCTTTTTTGCTGCTACTTGCTAAAGTAGCAAGTAGCTACTTTTTTCTTTTTATATCATGACTCTATTCTAATTACTAATTATTTATTAACCTACTAGTAACATTGGAAGGAAAGTAGCTTATGGAAAAATCAGTTGTTTATTTTGACTAATAGGCTGTAGTGTAAAAACTTCACTGGTCTTTGTACTTAGAAGGTATAAATGCATAGTCTTTTCTGTATTGCTAAAAAACCAACCATCCATCCATCCATCCATCCATCCATCCATCCATCCATCCATCCATCCATCCATCCATCCATCCATCCATCCATCCATCCATCCATCCATCCATCCATCCATCCATCACTATGTCAATTTAACCGTTTATCCAATGGTCCATTTCATTTTTTTTTTTGCGCTTGTTGAGTTTTAGTCTTCTTCATATTTGGCAGTTGGCTCATGAACTCTTTTATCATATTTTAGATGTGATTGGGGGAAAAAGCTAAGAACTTCAAAATCCTACCTTGAAAAGTTTGGCATTTGGTTCACTTGGCCAATTCATTCGAAAAATGTTAGTGTTTATGTTGTAAAAAATTAAAAAGAACAGTGTGAACATTTATGTCTGGGAATCTCAGTTTGGAACCTCAGTTGTCCTACATAAGCACTTCTTTAACACTGATAGATGTTTACTTTTTAAGCTAATTGCAGAATATAATCATAGCTATTGTGCTCTTTTGTTTTGCAGCTTGTCCAGTGCTCCAGAGTCCAGCTGGGAGGGGATGGAGCAGGACAGAGAGGATCTAAAGGTCTGGCTCATCCGTTTTCACATGCATTAACTCCTAGTACAGGCAGAAATAGGAGCATGCATTAAGATGCAATGACAGTTTGGGGTGGATGGTGAGGAAGGAGTTGCAGCCTTTAGGCTAAAATGTGCCCTAAATCCACAGCCCACTGAAACTCCACAGGCAGCACCAAGGATAGACCTATATCTGATGATTGAAAGGATCAAACATTATATAATACTGTTCTAACCAGGCAGACTTATTCTGGTCTTGGAGGTTGCATGAAAGGAGGATTCTTTCTTGCGTGAATGAGCTGCGCTCCATTTAAGCCAACCCTCACGCTTGGCTTTCTAACTTCTATCCCCTTAGTCAGTCCCTCCATCTTAACGGAGAATATTTTCATTCCCTCATATCTGCAGTTTGACGAGGACAGGAGGGATGAAGATAGGCAGGAATTGAGGAAATCTTTAAAGCTGTAGTATAGGCTATAATAGGATATTTTCCAGAAGTTCATTTTCTAAATTAAAAGTCACGAAATAGCTTCAATGAAGACAGAATAGATATTTATCTAAACTGACAGCTAGTGTGTTAGCATTAAGTAATTTAAGGCACTTCTCTATTATTATTATTTCTGGAAATGTTATTGGGGGCAAACTAGAATATATCAACTGTTTATTGTGGGAAAAGCTTATTGTAGATACCTGCCACTACCAAGCATATTAATTGTGTTGTTTCTCATTTGTCCTCAGGAGCGGAGTGAGGAAGATGTTTCAGAGCAAGGTGAAATGTTGCAGCGCTCTGACAAGTTGTCTGGCATGACAGCACAGCTGCAGACACTCAGGAAAGCTCTGCACCACAAGTACACCCAAGAGGTGGCTACTCTCAAAGAGCAACACAGCAGCGAGATCAGACGACTGAGAGAAGAAAGTAAGCACTGGGAAGACAGAGGAGAGAGGAGGCTGGATCTCAGCGTTGTAAACGGGGCTGGAAGCTCCACTGAGAGCCTTGGGGCAGCTGGACAGGTCCTAACGGAGGAGAAACTGTATCAAGAGAGGATGGAGGAGGAAGTTGCCAAGGTAGCGCTTGTATATTTTAGGTTTAAATACAAATTATGCATCTACCCTGACAAGGTATTGTTTAAACATTGACAAGAGTATGGTTTTGCAACTTAGATACTGCTTTAAATTGCAATTGTCTTGCTTTTTGTGGACAGATTTTCATTGGTTGGTAAACTAGACATCCTGTAGTTCCAACTTTTTGAACAAATACAGCATGAATAAAAGGGTCATAGCAACAAAAGGAAAAAAAAAAAAGTTGTTGTTTTTTTGTAAAACATAAATACACTCTAAATAATACATTTTGGTTCCCTGTTTTTCCTGCCAGGCTATAGTTCAGATGTCTGTGCAGTTTGCACAGCAGACTGAGCTGGCTCGGATCAATAAAAGTGGCAGCCAAAAAAGCACCTCTATGCAGACCCAGATGGATGAGGAGGAAGTCGATGGGGAGCTGGAGGACCAGACACCAAGGGCTTCCCCGGCTGCGGACGTCTGGTTAGAGGAACCAGAGAGGGGAAAATTGGAAAGGGATTTGCAGGAGAGGAACGAGATCAAAAAGCTAAAGGAGGAGCTTCAGAGAACTGAATTGGAGCAGGTCAGTCAAACTTTATTTAAATGTTTTTTTTTTTTTGTATAACTTTCCCTGAGTTTTTTTACGCACTCAAAATTGTGTTTTTGTTGTACAGTTGTTTTAACACTTTTTTTTTTACATCATCATTATATTTAGTATTTGAGAAATAATAATTTTGTAAATACTAACATTCATAACAACAATAACATGCTATATTTTGTTCTTAATTCAATATAAGGTTATGTACCAATTCCGTTTGTTTGAAAGACTAAAAGTAATGAATACAAATAAAAAAATATTGGAAATAATTAAGGCAGAAGAAATCCTTTTATAATTGAATCCTTACATATTACATGAACTGCAACATTTCAGTCACAAAAGCCTCACAAATATAAAAAAATAGTCATAAAAAGCCAAATAATCTTATGCTACAGTTTACAGACACTGTTCTTAGCATAGTCTGTTCTGATGCTTAAAAGCACTGAAAGTTTACTTATGTAATATATAAAGCAGGCTTCTTCATCGCTATCATCCTGATTTGTTCTTAGTTAATCCTAGATATATCAATTACTCCTATTTATTAGATTTTTTCTGTACTTATTCTGGCTTTTTTTTTTTACTCTTTTTTTTTTTTTTTTTTTACACTGCATCCTGTGTTTTTTTTTTGCATTAAGCTAATTTTAATATAAAATAGTTTGCATTCCCTCTGAGTAATCGATAAATGATGCAGCAGAATAATGTGCACTGTGGCTGCATTTCCACCTGAGGGAGCTCTTGTTTCTACTGGTGTCTTTCCATCAGGTGCACCTGTTGCCATAGTAGCACAAAGATACTAGTGTTTCTCTGGTTTCTCCGGGAGTTGATATGTGTCTTTGTGCTCGTAAACCAGCAGTGTTTCTGCCCATGCACTGCTGCAGCTTATTTGAATGGACTTTTACTAATGCGTGCATACGCAGCGTTGCAGTGCCCAAAGCCTCAGCTTTCAGAAGCCTGCTTGTTTGGCTGAAACTTTAAAATGACAGGGCTGCTGTCTGTGTTTTCTCTGCTGCCCGTCCAGGCCTTAAAGAAGAAGGATGATGGTGAGGAGCAAGATGTGGAAGGAGAGTCTTCTGATAAAGATGCTGAAAGGTATAACGGCATTTATGCAAAAATTTTCTGAAGGAAGTAAACTTTTGTAGAAAGATAGGCTGGACTATATTTCTGAAACGTTTTATTAATAAACAAATAACATGCATTTTTTTTATCTATTTTTTCAGAAACTTACTGAGTGAAGCCAACAGGAAGCTCAGCCAAGTGCTTGTAGACGTCCTGAAGACAACTGCTGCTGCTGAAGAAAGTTTAGGCCTCCACATGCAAAGATTACATGCAGCTTCATCTGCTCTGCAGCCCTCTGAGTTTACCTCTCAGACAGAAACAAGCCAGAGAGATAGTGCAGGCAAGTGACATCAAGCTTTAGGAAATATCCTGGTTAACTCTACGCTGCTTATTGTTAAAACAGAATAATCCATTCTGCATATGGCTGAGTGCTTGAAATTTTATTTTAAATTAATTAATTGAAGCTGTTTATTTGTTTCACATTTTAACATAATTGGATCTGAATGTGGTTGAATTAGGTTTATGGTATTTGTTGACTAAAAAGGTTAAGGTCTTGGCAAAAAACATCAGATTTTAACCACAATGTTTATAAACTGTTGGAAGTTGTTATAGCCACTGTGAGGTCAGACTAATGTTTTGCTGCTAAGCAATTCTAAGCAATGTTGTTTCAAATATTATTTTGCATACATCATGCATAGACTGGGTTATCATATTTACTTTCTTTTTTACTTTTTAAAGCATCAGAAGTGCAGTATCAGTCTGTTTAGGGAAGCATGTATGCTGTTAACACCAACCATTTAAGAAGTTGATGTGCAAATGAGACGAAGAACAGATAATCCTTTTCACTTAGATTACAGAAAATCTTCACTGTGAAAGCAGAAGATACTGTCAACCAGAGATTATGGTCAATTTACAGAAGATTTTAGCTGCTTGAAACAAAATAATTCTGGATTAGCTATAGTTGCTTGTGTTATAACTTGCACATGCTTAAAATATTTACAACAATAATGTACAGTAAAAGCAACTGTGCATGAAAGGTTAAAAAGACCATAGGGTCTTATAAGACAGCTAAATTGTTTTGTCTTAGGAAAGACATAACAATTTACACTATGTTTATATTTAAACTATTAAATATACACATAATTTGCTGTTTGAAATTGGCATAACTTTTAGTGTTTTTTTTTTAAATAATATATTTCTGCACTCGCTTTAACTGTAGAAAAGGTTTTTTTTAAATGCAAAAAGGTACTTTAAGCTCTTAAAATTATTAAACTTAACACTAGTTTACTAGTATGTGAATATCATTTAGTAATGCGGCATCTTTCCCTCATACAAATCCTAAAATTCCTCAAAGGACTAAAATAGATGACAAAAAAACGAAGTAGAAGCATTTCCTAACTATAAAGTTGTTAGAAGATTATTAAAAGTCAGCAAAATAAGAAAGTACAGATAAGGAAGTTCCTAAAGCATTAATCTCCTTTACCACTCTTGATATGCCACAGACAAAGTTTGTGCTTTAACATTTCTGTCATATGAGGTGGATTGGAAGTGCGCTGAATTTATCACCTGCATGCATGCAAACTAGGTTGGACCTTTTTGAATTCTATTTTCTGCATTTATATCTGCAGCAAAGATGACTGTTAACCTTATCTTTATTTTCATGGAAATACATTTGGGACATAGCTTAAAAACAATTTTCCTGTTCAAACAAAACAATAATAAAGGCTTATAGTAGTGGGTATCGCTGTAAATTAACCCGGAGTTCCTCTGCAGCAACTAAACCACATCAAGCCTTCTTTTTAACCTAAATATTTAAAGTTATTTGGTGTTTTCATTTTTTTATGTTTAAAATGATTATCATATCTCTCACAAGTGTTATGTATAAGCATTTTTATTTATTAATTTTTTTATTAAGACCAGCACAACTCGCCATTTAACACTTTAAAGCATCCACTTCTTTATGGTCTTATCAGCCTGTGCAGCTAATCATTTAACCCTCCTCCCTCGCTCTCAGAGTTTATGGAAATAAGAAAGTTAATGGTTAAAACTGTGTTGGTTTCATCTAACTAGTTGATGTTAACAAACCTTGTTACTTTTTAGATTGATGACGAGTTGCACCTATTTGTGTTCTGGTCAATCTGGTTTATGACCTATGCATAAATATTGCTGTCAAACCTCAATCCAAGAACTTGATTAACCTGTATTTGGTAGCATCAGATCAATAAACCTTGTTTTTTTATTGTTAATTTGTTAGCATGCAAAAAAGTTTCTCAGAATGCCAAGATGTACATAGATCCATACAAACAAAATGCAATTTTGTTTGATTTCACAGAAATGGGCCAGATCAGGGAAAGTGGAGCCAACACCATGTTCTGGTCTGGGAAGTTGGAGGCGGAAGAGGGTCTGGAGATGCTTCTTGGGTCAGAATCACAGTTTGGGAACGATGAATATTTTCTGGGCATCAGCAGACGACTTCAGACAGCCATGGAGAACATGCTGATGACAATCACAGACACAACTAACCAGGTATAAAGATTATTTTTCTTTGTGGCCAAAATCACAGTGGTGGTTTCACTCATAAATTATAGAGTTAAAAGCTCATATGATATGTATACATTTATGTATACATTTTTTAAGTTTATATATTATCGCAAAGCATGACAAGAACTTATAGAATGTAGGTAAGAAAGCAATGAGCTGGCTAAATTCGGATACATACTCCTAGTTGATTGCTGCGGGGCAAATCTAGCTACAAGCATCTGAAGCGGTTAGACAAAAATGGCCTTTAGTTGATAGTTTGAAAAAGAGAATAAGTGTGACATAGTGAAATGACAAGGAGCAATGAAAGCAGCTGGTGTCCACAGGTCCAAACAGAGCAGAGACATGGGGTATCCCCTAATCTGAGAAATACATTGATCAGCTGAATCGGAAGTAGATGACAACATTGAGATGGACAACTTTTTATCTCCATTTAAAACGCATAATCCATTTAGATTTCATAAACATTGGGAGTTTTAGGCCACACCCATGCTTTAAAACACACACATCTCCACAATTTGGTTAATGTTTGATGCATCTATATTCTACATTACATACAAGACGTTTTGAATCAGGCAGTCCCAATTTTTAATTGCAGCTTTTTCTAGCCGTATCTAATATATTCCTTGACTCTAGGAGGCGGTGCAGGGGCGCAGACAGCAAGTGTGCAACATTGCACTACATATCAAAGTTCCCAATTATTTATTTCCAAGAGTTTTTCAATGATCTGTTGATCTACATGATCATTGAACGATTATGTTTTTTTTTATCTTTATGGGCCAAATCATGCGATGTTAAGGGCGACAGTGGCGTCGGATGTAGGAGTTTGCCCTGAAATCGAAGGATTGATGGTTCAAGCCCCGACTCCGACTTTCAGTGTCATTGTGTCCTTGGGCAAGACACTTCACCTGCATTGTCTACTGATGGTGGTCAGAGGGCCCGGTGGCGCCAGTGTACGGCAGCCCCGCTTCTGTCAGTGAGCCCCAGGGCAGCTGTGGCTACAATGTAGCTTGCCACCATCAGTGTTTGAGTGACCAAAGCGCTGTGGACAAGTCTCCTGACTTGAAAAAAGGCTCTATATAAGTACAGGCCATTTACCATGTTTATAGGTGTTTATATTTTGAACCTCTGCCAGTTGGAGCTCTTATTCATCCCACATGAATTTCCTTCACTGGACAGGAACTATTTGGGCTTAGGGGGATGGACATGGACCCTAAAATTTCATAAATTTGGTAAGACACACCATTTGGAATCATAGCTGATTCCAGGTAAAAACCAGCTTTACATGATGTAAAGGGACAAACGCATTTTTATAAGGTTTTATGTTTTAAGGAAACCATATGATAGATTGGCTTAAAACGATGTTAATGTGTATTAATCTTACTGAGCTTGAATTGTAGGTTCTGAATGATTCATAATAATTTATTTGACTACTTTTTCTTTATTTTCTTTTAAATCTTTGTTAATTATTGTAAAGGATATATTTTAAGCTCCCTAAAAGCAAGAAGAAACAAACTGCTGCAAGGCCTGCTCATGTGTTCTGTTGTTTGTACTTCAAAGTTGTCGGTAAACAGAAAGCTCCAGTGACACATTTAATCTCTCAAAACATTTAGAAGAACTCTAAGCGCTGTTAACCCCCCACCCGTGGGTGTCTGCTCCTGTTCATTGGGAGGCATAATGGGGATGAGATGGCAGAATGTGTCTAGCATTCACACACAAAAGAGCTGCCTCATTCCCAGTGGTTGCCTGTAGATACGAGCTGTATTTAAACAGAGCTTTTTGTGTTGACTGGGCAGCCTATCCTGGTCCGTACTCGCTGAGCAGCTCCACCCCCACAGGGTGTCCGTGTAGCGCTCCCACTGTGTCCTGTGTCAGCCCACAGAGCCAGGGCCAGTTTAAGTAGGCCACTGAGCGTGTTACAGTAACGGGCTGCACAACTCATCCCTCCCTCTGGCAGGAACTCACGCTTTATTCACGCTAAAATGGGTTTGTCTTGATGGTCTAAAAATAGCTTTAAAGATGTGAGGCAAAGCTTAACTGCTGTTTAGGTATCATATAAGTCAAAAATTTATCATTTATTGACTAAATGTATTGACCAATTCAACCCTGTGTGGTATGAGTAACATGAAAAGTCATTAAGAACTGAGAATTACGACCTAATTTTCATTTGTCCGTTTTTATCTAATAAAATAGAAAAAAAACATCAGTTTCATGTTGGAGAAGTTGTGGATTATTTCAGAACCAACTGGCATTTCTTCTCCGGTGTTCCATTTTCTCCACCTCAATTTCTCTGCTTCAGATTAGACATGATGGCTGATTGCCAGGGTCCTTAATAATGTTTAAATAAACTGTCTAGAGCGTGGTCACTGAGACTGAGCATTACCACCTCTGGTCCAAGTGGTTTGACGTCGGTAGGTTGCCGACTTTGGATTCCAAACCACTTTTGAGACATATTGAAAATGAACTTGCTTTCTTTGCCTTAATTAAATAAGGTAAGACATCCAGTGAGTTTACTGCCTCTTTCTTACTATGCCTAAGCTGACTAATTGGTCCTTGGTAGACAAAGTTCTGGGAGGAAGATATCAGGAGGGCTGATAGGCCAATCAGAGGCAGAACGAATGAAGTGACAGCCAACAATATAAATTAATTTGATTCGTTTCCCAATATTCTGTAGACTAGAGAAAACAATGTCAATCAACCACTGGATAAAATATGCCCTCTTTATTTAAGGCTGCTTTAAGATTCCGATTGAATGTAAAAAATACCCTGAATAAAAACATGTCTTCATTCATTCATGGAAGAAAACTGACAAGTTTTGTTTGGGTTATATGACTTTGTGTAGATTGTGGAAAATGCCTGAATCAACATGATTTGTGTTTAAACAAAGCATAAAGGAACAGGTGTCACACTTTTCTTGAAGGGGAAAGGGCAAATCTAATTTGTTTGCTTGAGCTAAATTTGTCCTCAAACAAAAAGACTCACACATATTTTTGTGTATTAATTTTAATGTCCCTCTAATCTTGTAAAATATTAAACATTGCAGATGATAGTGATATAAAATGTTTATTTTTCAAAAAAATTAACGTTCTTAACTTTTTTTTTTTTTTTTTATTTCTACAATCACAAAATTAATATTTAAAGAATTGTTCCCTTGTTAATTCGTGATTACAACCAACTGAGCTCCTCAAAGAACACGTCATTGAAACGACAATGAATGTCTAATCACTGGAGCCTTTAATGGTTCCTTCAATGATTTTCTTGCTGCTATTGATCTGCTTTACATCAGTCTTGACTGTATGTTGTTGAATCATCAAGCTGTTCACAGAGACTGATGTAACAAGACCAATCAGGAATGTTAAGTGTCTTGGTTGAGCCATGGCTTGTAAATTATTTGCCCTTTGGTAGGTGTTTGTTCCCTGATAGCTCACCGCCTGTACCTGCCTATGCAAGATAGAAATATGTCATTTGACAGCAGACACGCCAAACAGAGGCAGAACTCTGACAGAGATCTAGGAGCAGCACATCAGCCCGTCTTAAACCTCCTTAAATGATTATTTTTGCTTCTTCAGAGGGAAGAAAATCTGGTTTGACGGCTTTCTGTAAAACGGGCGTGCGTCGTCAGTGGTTATTTGTGTGCTCGATCTGTTTGCAAATCCACCCGGTCTACTGGTCTTAAGGACTGAAGCCACACCTGATTTCTCCTCCCACTTTTTCTGGGCAGGATCCTGCTGTGTGTTTAGAGTAGGAAGTAGGGAAAAGCACTCTCTTCTAAAGGCTATCAGCTACGTGGTTTTAATCTGTAAGGATAAGCGGAAGCTGTCGAGTAACATGGTGGATCTCGTGGATAAGTAACATAAGGAATTATGGAGGAAAAGATTGAGTGACTTTCTGATCGGAGCGCTGTCATTGCATCCTCACCCCCGGTTGACGCCGGGAACAGTCAATTAGAAGGGGCCCCTGGGAGGCTCCCATGCAGGTTGGGCTACTACAGCGTCATGGTATTGTTAATGAATCTCCAGAGTGCAAGAGAGAGAGAGTGGAGAGCAGAGGGGGGTGTGAGCTCTACTGAGCGGTGTAATATGGTTTCACTCTGAAGAAAGAAGGTCAGAGACAACACGGCGAGAGAAGCAGAGATCTACACATGGAAAGCAAAAGGAAGAAATGCTCGCCTTTATGTTTACCGTCTGTCTGCTGTGCTCAAGAGGGGAATTTGGACTGCTGGACTTGGATCTGACTTCCACCTGCTGCTGAGGATGACATTTTGTTGCAGGATTATAAAAACTCCCTTTTTGCCAGAAAAATATTTTATTCTCAGGGCTCACCTGTAATTACATCTGATTGAGATGCCGTGAATGTCACCTTCTCCAAACTATGTTTACTCTTCCTCCATGCGTGTGCAAAACACATAGAGACTGTTGCTTGGAGCTATCCACAACATATATCAGCGGTTCGTCTCCCACTGGACTTTATTCCCATTTGCAGTGAACCTGACAGACCATAGCCGACGGGAAACCCCCCTTTTTTCATGACTCCGGATAAGAAAAGAGAAAAGTTTATCCTGCCATGGATTCCTATCGCTCCTACTGGAACTCGAGCAGCACGTGGCTGGAGGGGGAGGACCAAGATGTGTACGAGGTGGAATCCCGCGTACCCCTTCCTCGACCCTTCCCGCTGTCCAACACCTTGAATTCTAAAAATGCAGTGGTGGTCCAGACTCAGATCTCACATGTCAACCACAGGACTAATGGTCACCTTCTTAAAGTCATATCTAAAATCTCCCTTCCCACTCCTCCTTATACAGTAAGTTTACACCCCATCACCCCTGCAGTGTGCTGTTTAAATTATAAATAGACTGAGGGATTTGTTCATTTTTAACCAGCGTGTGTGGATGAATGTTTAATTGGTTCATTTCATAGCTTGTTTTATGAAGCTCAGGTCCAAACATGCAGATGTGATGTAAGCTGAACGTCTTTGCGCTCAGAGCAGCAGCGGCTCTCCTGATTCATTATGTGGAAGATCGTGTGACTTCTCCTCTGTGGCAGGTTCATGTTACCGCTTCCCAGTTCCCACATCATCACAATAAGACCTTTGCTTTCAGAGATATGAAAATCTATGGAAAATGACTCTGAGCGTACGGATGGTTTATGGCAGTTTAATGCAGTAATTTCCATGTATTTTTATCTAGGAATAAAAATTGCCTCTGTCAGCTGACTGACAGTTTTACAGTGCAGATATAGTCCTCATATCTTACTGCAAAGCTATCACATCAGTATGTGAGCTCGTTTTGTTGCTTTGTAAAACATGTAGTGCGTTTCTGGCAGCATTGCGATCTGATTAGCATAAAACCTTTACACTCGAAGAACAGAAACCGTTTGTGACAGCAGTTTGGTTTTAAAAATGTCGCTGAACACCTCCTTAGACATTGTTGTATTGTTTGTGAGATTTTTTTCCTGAAGCTAGATCTGTGCAGTCACGAAACACAAAAAACATGTTTTCCAAACATTTTATTTGATAAGTATTTTACATTATTACATTTATTGTTGCTGTTGTGTGATTAAGCCTGTTATTGTATTTAAATTTTGATCTTTATGTTAGAGTGTAGATTACTGTACTTCACACCTACAGTAAAGCATAATGATTATACGACAAATCTAAGGGAACTGAGGTTCTCCAAGAAACAAACAAAAAATGAAATTATTCTATATCTTCCTTCAATCAATTTTTAAAATCTTTTAAGTAAGGAAACACCAGCAAATAAAGGTTATAAATACCAACAACAATGAAAAACACAAATGCTACTCTGCAATTGTAGGATATATAAATAAAAGCATCAATTAGACCCTTACGATTTGTGGAGAGTTGATCAGTCTCTGTTTTTATTACATGTTAATCTGAACGGGAGAAGGGAAAAAATGGAGGACAAAGTCTCAAATTCTCTTCTGATCCGTATAAACTTTAACTTCAGGAAGAAATTCCATTGTCTAAAATCATGCTTTGGTCCTGGTTTTCTTTTGTCCTTTTTATCAGGTTAGTTTATGGGGAAAAATCAGAACAAGATGTTAGCTCAACCTGAGGCCAACCCTGAGTCTGGAAGCGACTGGTTCTCTCCCAGATTGTTGGATGTCATTATGGCTCCTTACTTCTGTTTTCATAACTAGGTTGGGTAAACAAGAAAACATTTAATGAATGTTACTAAGCCACATTAAAGAGTTGGCAAAGTTGAATAGAGGAAATTTGAATCTGGCACAGGTTTTAAAACAACAATAATAAACTTATCTGTTAATGATAGGCTTTCTGTATGCACCTTGTTACTCTATCTCTCCGGTTCTTTTCTCTGAAACTCTTAAAATCACAGTTCATAACTTATATGTATCTATAATCAGGAGACATGACAACAGGTTCTGATAGAAATTGTAATCTTACTCAGATCAGAGACATTGCTTAGGGTTTACAGAAGGCAGCTGCTCACCTCCGGGCTCGCTTCTCAGGAAGTGGCTTAGATTAACAGTTAGAAAGGCATTTTATACATCTCAAGTCTGCCACATCATCTTATTTTACATCATACAAATTAGCAGATGATTAGACATCCATGGCTCCAGCCTTATCAGAATATTACACTTTGTTCTTAGCTGAAGGACACCGCTCTCATTCCATTTCCAAATCTTTGCCACATATAAAATGAAGATATAAAATGAAGGCAGCCAACACCAAGGCATGATAAACCCACACATCATCAATGATAATTTTCCTAACATATCTTTGCATTCCATCCATCCATCCATCCATCCATCCATCCATCCATCCATCCATCCATCCATCCATCCATCCATCCATCCATCCATCCATTTTCCCCTGCTTAGTACTTTTGTCAGGGTTGCGTTAGGGCCGGCAGTCTATTGGCAAGAGGCGGGATACACGCTGAACAGGTCGCCAGTCTGTCATAGATATTTTAGCATACTTTGCAAATATCCTTGTGTTTCTTGATGTTACAAAACTTGTCCTGATATGATTTTTTGATAAATCCAAGTTAAATGACCGCAATCAATATGATGCAATGTCACATGCCACTCTAACACCATCATTAGCATCTACATCACAACTCAAGCTTTCGGATCAAAATAAATATTCTTATTAAAAATACTGTAAAAACAGATCCCCTGTTCACATTCTGCTACTTGGTGCATCTGTGATGGTGTGGACTGGTATTTTCAGTTTGCGACTGATATACTTGTGTTATTCGTTAAATTGACATTTGGATGTGGATTAATTTTTATGCCCGTATTATTCAAACAAACTGTATCTTTTAGTCTATAAAAATGCCACTGAATCTGTCTTATTTCAATATCAGAACCAAACTTGTTTGGAATAAAAAGTTGTCATGACAGCACCTAAATGTCCGACAGAAACATATTTAAAAGGACCTGGGTATAATTGGGTCCTATAAGTTAGAGGTCAATTGTGACATGTTTGTGTAAATTATGGTATATTTGTATATATGGCACATTTATCACACATTAGCTGCTGAAAAAAGGTCCTGAAAGGATTGGTTTAGATATCAGTTAAGTTCTCAGGGCTTCAACTGTCAGTTCTTTGAAAGATTTAATTATCTTATGATTTCAATCAGTTTAAAAAGGAATGCACATAGTAAATTGAACATAAATTAATGTACATTTATTTTAGAGATTTATACAAAACTTGGAGATTACCTAAGTGTCGATTGCTTTATTATTCAGATTGATAAAAAAAATAATCTGAATAATAGTTTCAGCCCAAACATCCTAGTATTTCATAATTTGACAGATTAGTGTGAATAAAAAGCATAAATAAAAATAAAAGAAAAAATCCTAAATTTCTTTATTCTGTTTTCGACATTTTCCTCAGAATCAACATGTCTGTTTGGATTCTAACTTTTATAGAGGCTGAACTTTTGACATGAAATGACTTTAGTAGATGCAGTTAGCCATATCTGCAGCAATGTATAAATTAAAGGCTACCCACGGCCCTTAACATAGCAGTAGGTTGACAGGAAGATGCTGCTGTAACGTATTATTAGTCTGAAATATCACACCGTAACCGCTGGAAAGATGACGTCCTTTTGGTCACTGAATCCCTATGCTGTTTGATGCTATATCCCCCCTGTCTCCAGCTGGAACATGCCCGGATGACCCAGACAGAGCTGATGCGGGAGTCCTTCCGCCACAACCAGGAGATCACAGAGCTGCTGCAGAAACAGGAGGAGCTGCAGGAGAGGGTGACGGAGGAGGCTCGAGCCCGGGAGCAGCTGGCTCTCGAACTGCACCGTGCCGAAGGTTCGGCTGATTTTAACTTTAAAACTGTTCTCAGTTTTTACCTAGAAGTTCAGTACCTGATGGTGATGAGGTTTAGGTCTTTGCCTGTAATGCCATGGAGCACGGTTTGAATACTGAATGCATCAGGAAGGGCATCATGTGTAAAAACTCTTCCAAGCTTGTGAGACATTTCATACCTCCCCTGCTTCCCTTTCTTTCTAGTTGCATATTGATTTATTACATGTGTGAATTTAATATTTGCGTAACCAATGAAAATGAAACTATGAAAACGTAAAATATCCTAACTAAGCTTCCTTACGACAGCTAATTTAGGAATAGACCTACTGTGGATCAGAATCCTGACTTTCTTTTCTAGGGTAATTCTAAGGAAGTAATGTGCATTTGTTTTCGGTAAGAGGTAAACTTTTAATTTAGTGTCAGAAGCAGCTGGTACATGAGGGTCAGCTGTGTCACCTGACCCATTTCATACACTTTCTAAGGCCTGAAAACACTGTGTAACAGAACAGGAATCATCCGTCTTTTCGCTTTGCAGATACACTTGGCAATAGTGAGTTTATGGCCTTTTTCTAATCATGCGTTGCTCTTTATAAGACGGGGATCCTGTTTCTCTATTTGCTCTTTCTAATCCTGTAAAATAGCGCTGAATGTTTGCAGTCATATTAAAGCTTTGTAGAAGTACAACCCATCAAACTCTGTTTAAACAGAATAAAAGGATATGACTTTGGTCAAAAAAATATCTTTTTGTTTTAGCATGGTGTTATAAATAATGATTTGGGTGTTGTATAGCATTACGTCTCTTTATTCCCTTGAAAAGACTGTACTCATTACGTAAACCTGAGCTTTATGTTAAATGAAAACTGGTTTTAAATGCTTTGCTTTTAAGTTGTCGTGGTTGGGAGTGTTAAACAATTGCTGGGCTTGTGGCCTGATGTGCTGAAAAGGAAATATCTGCACTATTGTGTTTGAGGATTCAGGTTAAAAACTCCAGGGTGTGGCATTTTAAAACTGGTTTTCATTTAGTTTCACCCCTGAAAGGAGATACTTTTTTCTGACAGATGGAGTGTGTTAAGATCTAAAAACGTGACCTTTTTTTTCTGATAAAAACATGATAATCAGATGCTGTAGCAGAAAAAACTGAGGATTAACTACAGTTGTAGTCTTGTAGTGCTGCACTCTGCAACCGATGGATGATACTTTATCAGTATTGAATTACTTACATCTGACAGCTGATTATTACATACATCCCTCCCTAGGCAAACTTTGAAAAAAAACTCTGTCTCCTGCTATCTGGTGGCCGGTTACTGTAAGAGTATTCAAAACCCTTTAAAACTGTTTTCCATTTTCTTACATTTCAGCAAATCAAATCAGTATATTTCACTGGAAATTTATGTGGGACTGAAAGGACATTTTTAATGAAGTTATGCAAGAGGTTCTTAATTAGATCCCGGTCTTAACCTTGCCCTAGCCATTATAATACATGAATAGGGTTAGATCTAAATCATTTGTGCTTAATCTAACTAGATGTTGTGGAAGGTTAATCTGCGGGAAGGTCAACATCCATCCTAAGCCTCTTTCAGCTATAACTATAACCTCTCTAACTATAACCATGTTTTCCTGTTCTTGCTGAGGAAAAGTATTCCCGTCCACAGTTACAATAGACATCATGGCTACTTCACTGATCAGTGGTTTTCTATTGATGTGTTTGCGGTGTTGTCACACAGTGCCATAGAGATTTTGTATAGTTGTTTGTAAAATGTTAAACAAATGCAATTTTGTCGTGTCCATTCTTACACAAATTACTAATTTTGGTAAAAGTCTCCCTTGTAAAAGGCAATAAGTTGCACTGTGCTTTGTATGGAGAGATCAAAGTAAATGGGCTTTAGTTCAAGTGCATGCCATTCTTTCCATTTTTATGAAAAGTAATGTGTAATTGAGAAAAGTATAATTACTCTTCACTACATTCTCTTTGTTTTAATGTATTACATGAGGTCCTCCTAAAGTAAACTGAAGTTTGTGTCATTATGTAATGGGACATAATCTTGAAAATGTTTGAGTATTAATACTATTTGGAGGCATTTTACCATTTTGTTTCTTTCATATATGTAGACTAGGGCTGAAATGATTCATCGGATTATTCTTGATTAATCGATTATTGAAATAATTGTAAACTAATTTAGTATTTAATCGTTAATTGGAGTATACAGACTATAAAACATTCTTTTAGCTGACAGAGTGACCAGCCTGGAGCAGTAATTGTATTGAAATTGGGAGCAAATATATAAATATTTTGCATTTAAGATAAAAAAAAAGTTTATATGCTCCATCCAGAACTCCTCAAGTGGAAAAATTTTGTTTCCCCTGGTTTGATTTCTTAAAAGAATCTTCTTTAAGGAACTTTTTACTATCTGATTATTAATCGATTAATCCAAAAAAGAATCAAAAGATTAAACGATTTGCAAAATGATCTTTAGTTGCAGCTCTAATGTAGACATTGAATAATAAGATATCCTCTAGTAGAACCTAATGAAATTTTTTTTAAGTTGCAGAAGTTCCAGCACAGGGGTAATGCTTGTTGACCTGTGATGAGGCCGTGCAGTAATTATAGAGAATTTCATTGTGTTTGCAACTCGGACATCAAGCAAAATGGGTCAAATATTTGCACTTGCTTGTACAACTTTGTTTAACTGAGCATACATCCATATTCTGTTTTTTTTTTCCTCCTTTACTTTTTTGTTGTTGGTAACCTTGGATATTGTACTCTGTTGTTAAGCATTAATTCAATTGGATGGCAACCTTAAGAACAACAAAATAAACTAGAAGAAATGCAACCTGAATGCTGAATGGATTAAACAGTTTACTCAAAAGATGCAAGTGAAGCCGTTCACTACCTGATAAAAACTAATGTTAGAAATTGATACAACGGTTGGAGAAAAAATGTAAGTTTGAAGCATACCCTATACCCACTGCTGACATTTTTTGAAGTGGTAGGAGAAGTTAAAGCAGATGAGCACCAGAACTATAAGGAATAATTGATCAAATAAATCAAACTTCCTGGATTAGAAGTGCTAGAAGTACATGTTAGCTATAACCCCCACTACTCATTCCCATAAATGACCCCTTCCCCTCAGGGTCTGCTGTTACCCACCACTGTGGTGGCATTTCCTGGATCAAGGTTGTATTTACACGCAGGGTGAGTTGAGCTTTAAAATATGTGTTAAATATATTAGAATTGGCTAATATGCTAATATCACAAAGTTGTGAACGTTTGTATTTGAGAGGGATGATGTCAGGGCATTAATCAGACCTCCTTTTATATACAGCTATTATAGTTAAAGAACTGTCACACATTCTATAAATCTTTAATATAATTTCGACATATAGTACAGCTAAATATACTGGTAAGAGGGAATTTTGTTGCGCGACCTGATGATTTAATTTGTGCGGGACAGTCCTGCATTTTTCACTTCTGTTCTGCGGTCCCTCAAATTGAAGCAATGTCCTGCATTTGACTAGGTCAAGTTAGAGAAAAGTAAGAAAAAATGTATTGAATCAGAATAAAGCAGAGCTGTAATCATTGTCACAGAGCTGCTCCAATGCCCCACTTCATGACAAAGCTGCACACGGTGTTCTTAAAACAGAACAGGTAAATGCCTTTAGTACAAAGTATGATGGAAGCTACTTCTGATGCAAAAGAAAATGAAATTACAACAAATGCTGGAATGGGCTATGACTGTGAGAGCTCTTTGTGAATTTTACAGAGGTTATTTTTAAATTTGATACTAAATTTGATGTAAAGCGACACTAAAATTGAGTTGGAAAAGAAACTTACAACTGAAAGTGGTGTCTTTCCCACATTGTCCCTCATTAGCATCCTAGTTGTCGCACTTTTTTTCTAGACCTGGTCACCCTAGAACTGTGTTATGTTCTATTTAATGATTAAATCAAAAAATGTGCAAAGAACAAAATATGTATTTAGAACCCTGAAGATTCTTGGCCAGTTCTTAAACTTAACATTTAAAGACTATACCACTGAAAGCAATAAGATTATAAATATCATAAGTCATAGACTGTACTCTAAATAAGCTGATGTTTTACTAAGTTTATCACTAATAGCACAAAGCATCCAGAGAAAGTTAGCTGCTAAAACTGGGAGTTAAAGATTAACTAAATAAAATAAGGTCACTTTGGTGCAAATTTTGTAAACCATTTTCAGTCCTTCTAAAATTCTCCAAGTTCCTGTAAAAAGGAGGGAGCAGAATAAAAACTTTTAAATGTTTTTTTTGGATGATTTGCAGCATTCTTTCTAAGCTTCTTTCTCCTTTAGGTGTCATAGATGGCTACACGGGTGAACGAGCTGCTCTGGAGGAGCAGTTGCGTCAGAAAGAAGAGCTCCAGTTAAGCCTCGAGCAAGAGCTGCAGGTGAGCTGCAGGGGGGAGGAAAAATAAGTGAAAGAAAAGGACTTGTGACAACAAAAAAGGCTGTTCTGTTGCTTTAGAACGAGGGATTATAGAAAGATCCCAAAGTTTGTGTAAACACTAGGAGTCCATCAGTTTATCTAGACTTTTAAGAGAAATGTGTAAATTGTTTGACACACTGCAGCTAAAAGCACCACTGCAACACTCAAAATCAGGCTGAACCCTGCTTGGTGCTTTAATTTTCTGTTACTTATTTACAGTTAAATTCTAATTAGACACAGAAATAATTCACAACACAGATCTTTTCAAAACATAGTAGGGAGCTGTAAATATGCATCAATTTATTTCTAGATTAAAATGATAGATAAATGCTCTTATTTGATACGATTATGCATGCAGAAATTACAAATTTGGCATCTAACACTGCTAAACTGGATTGTAAAATCTGATCCTGCTCTAAAGTAAATCGGAAAAACAAGCCCAAGCATGATTCAAATATACAAAAACACAACGAGAGGAGGGGAAGATGTGCAATAAAAGAAAGCAAGGGAAAATAATCTTTTTCTGTGAAACAGGGAGTCAAAAAGTTAGATATGAATGGCTTAATGAATGAACCAATCATTTAAACACCAGACATTCTTCTAAGTTGAATGTGTACTGTCAACAAATATCACCCCAGATGTCATCAAAGTTGTCATGCATGTCCTAAATACATCTGTTTATGATTTAGATTTTTTTCTTGCAGCAATAAGCTATCAGGAAATTCTTTTTTAATAAAACGAACGTGCAAACAAGTGTCAACATGCATGCAAATCTCAGCTGCTGAATTTAAATTTTCCACTCAGGTAACAAGTAGCCGGCTGCACGAGTTGGAGCAAGAACGGCTTGAAATGCTGGAGGAGCGCGAGCTGCTGTCACGGCAACAGGACGCTATGAAGGAAGAGGCGGGGCCGCGTGAGCTTCGTATGTATCACCTCAGGGACAAAGGAGAAAACCTACAAGGCTGTGTGTTTTCAGTCAAAATCAGCTTTTTTTGTTAGAGGTTTTGCTTAAAGGGACAGTGTGTAAGATTTTTTGCCAACTAGTGGTGCACTAAATTAATTACAAAGGACAGACTGGTGCCTCCTATTAAAGAGTGTGAACCCAGCGCGGAGTAACAACTACTAACAGCAGTTAATTACTTACATTATCCAATGTAGGCTGACAAACTTCTATTGAATTACTTACCTGTCCTGCAGAAAGCCTGCAACCTCAGTGTCCATTTTTGAAGTCTGCCCCCTCATAAATGTTCTGCACCAATGGTATTTTTTGCCAATTATTATTGCTTTTTCCTTTTTTGATTTGTTTCTTTTGCCTCTCATTTGACATGAAGTAAGGATGTTACTCAATTGCCAACAGAAAGTGGAATAATCATAACTTTTTGGGGGGTTTTTTGCGTCTTATTAACCCTTTGGCCACCAGCAACACATTTTCAGATGAAGGTAAAACCCTTAGGACCAACAAGTTTGTCCTCTTTCGGCTTCTCTAATCAAAAATGCTGACACAGCATGGCATCTCCCACTAGGTTCACAAGCCCCTATGTATTTCTTACCTACTAGTTCTAAGCTATTAGAAGGCACACATTTTTTATATCATGTTATTAGACTTTCAAAGAATATGTATTTATTAAAGCAATGCAAGATTTTTGTTTATACAAAGCTATATTTGTTACACACTGTCCCTTTACAGAACTGCAATACCAAGCTCAGTTGATGATATACTGTGTATTATTAACTGTTTGTTGAGTCAATGGTAGTTACCTTCTCCAAGGAGGTTATGTTTTTAGGAGACTGTATGTGTTTGTCTGTGTACAGGATAACTTGAAAAGTTATGAATGGATTTTAATTACGTTTTAAAAAGTCTGGAGCTATTTTACTGAAGACAAAAATACAGTTTTATGACAAATTGGTTTACCAGAGACGTGCCTCATGCTAATTTAAATTTGGTAATGATCCACATCATGTGCTGGTTTCAGCTATAGGTGTAAGACAATTTAGAGGAAAAGTTTTTGTTTGGCGGAGTCTGAGCTCTCTGAGTGATGTTCCTCTTATTGGACCAAATATCAGAGCCTCATGGTATTTTTTCCTGTCTTTTATGTTTCTTTACACCAAATCTGTTTCTGAATTAAAGCATATTTTAGGTATATAATTGGTAACAGTTATACTATACTACATGAGACCACGATTATCTTTACTTTCCTAATAGGTGTCTGTAAACTTGGTGTATATATATATATGCTAATTGACCTCTTTATTGCCCCAATTTCATAAAAAGAGTATCACTTCCTCATATTTTCTCATAAATGGTGAGTATTCTGTATTTACAAATGCAAACAAGGCCTTCTTTAATACCTCTCGCATCACTTTGTTTCTGCAGTTCTAGGCTTCAGAAAGTACACTGCCTTCTTTTCAACTTTTCTCCCCATTCTATATCTGATTATGGCAAACGAAACAAGAGCATGTTGAATTACTGTGTGCTTTCTCATCCCCCTGTAGGCCTAGTTGAAGCTGCAATGGTTGCAGCACCTGAAGCAGGTGTGTCCACTTTGAGCATGGCTAAGTCATGTCTCTGTATGGCGACATTAATTGCCTGGCTGAGTTACGGTGTATCTCTCTAACCCTCATTTGGCAACTCACTATCACAGCTTAAAGCTTGCTTGCTTGTGGGCTCATATACTCACTCAAAATGATCACTAACCTCTGCAACTGCTTATTGTTTTGACTGATTTTGTCCTGTTTAATGTCTCGGAGTCAGTGTTGGCACCCGTTTTAGCATGACAAAACATAACTCCAGCAGTTTGTACATTGCCCTCTAGTATATATCCATAACCCCTGAGTTTTTCCACATTTGTCACATTACAACATACACCCATATGTCTATTTTAAGCAAATTTTAAGCATAATATTGGATTCTATTGTTAAACAACCCCATTTACTTTGATACCCCAAAATGTAATACTAAAAACACACACTACACCCATAGTTTGCTATTTTTGTGTTAGTTTATTAAAGGTATTAAAAAAAAATGCAAACCCGTGTCTGGTATAGACCTAAGATTGTAAATCTTAACAAGATGAGTAGTTAGGAAAATATTGATTATATATCAATTAGTATCTAGAACATCATCACAATTTCAACAAGAATATTGCCATTTATATTTTTTTCATAATATTTTACAGCACTGATTCATTACCTTAAATCAAAAGAAAACACATCAAAGTTTGTGATTGTAATGTGACAAAGTATGAAAAAAATTATGTTATTTGAATTATTTAAAAAAAACAACCTTATATCATGTCGTCCATGCTGACGGCTATCTTTTTGTACATATTTATGCCGTATTCCTATTCAATATCACTGAATAGGAGGCTCTCCTCCCTGCCTGTAGACACTCATTAGGCATGGATACTGCCATGCATTAACTTTGTATGTCTGATCTGTTATGTGCACTCTATCCCCCTGTTACTTTTGCACAATCCTGTTGGTCTTGATTCCGTGTTGAATGTTGATTGGTGGCAGCGAAACAGATGCTGGGAATGATGGGGGGTGTTGACTGGTAACTGGATTATTTGATGGGAACTTGACTGAGATGTCAGAAGAGTCTGATGTTGGTCATTTATTATCAAATTGATTAAACTGTGTATTTAGAAATGTGTTAAATCAAATGGAAAATGATAATTTCAAAGCCCCAAAGTTGCATTTAATCTCATTAAATGTTGCCACTTTCAGACTCTTGTATCTCAGATTTTAATCTCTGTTCAAAAATCAAGGGGAATGTCTCAATAGCAAACTATGTGACTGTTATTTACGGTACGTTCCATCCCTTTCTTCACAATATTACACAGACCTATTAGAGGAAACGGAGAAGCTGATGAAAGAGAAAGTGGAGGTTCAGCGTCAAGCCGAGAAGGAGAACTCAGACCTCCTAAAGCAGGTGAAACAACTGGAGGATGAGCTGGAGGAGCAGGTGAACAGAGTGATTGAACTGGAGCATGCTCAAAAGACACAGACCGGAGACCTCCAACAGCAGATCCAGTCCCTGGAGAAACAGCTGGAGAAAAACAGGAAGTTTCTTGACGTAAGTGAGATGGAAAAGTGCCTTGATTAGATTCAGATCTATATGGAAATAATTGTTTGGTTTCATGGTAGAGTTCCGGCTGATGTTTCAGATGGTAAAACCTTTTCTAATTATTGCCTTAAGTCATCACAAATAATAACGAATGGATGGTTACTTCATGATAACAGTCCCTCTAAAATCTAAATATTTTCATGATAGTCATAAACATTTCTATCCATTTTATATTAAACGAAATGCATCCCAGTAGGGGAACATTAGGAGCTAAGAAGATCTGTATCAATACCTTTGAGCATCAATACCTGCAGAACATTTCAGAATATTTCGCTATACTTAATCTTTTGTCTGGAAAACTCAATGGAAAGGAAAATTCTAACAGACCTTATTTAAAAAAAAAAAAAAAACATCACATATTTGAACAGGTCAACAAAAATGACCAAACAGGATATTTTCCTCCAATGCAAAGCAACGAAAAAATTGCAGGAATCATCCTAAAACAGCTAAATTTTTCTCATCAGATAATATGGTCAGTCTCTGAACATAATAGCAGAGGGTTGTTTTTTATTTATTTAGATTTATGACGTTCATAACAATGATTGTTTAGAATACTTTTTTTCTTTTAATGTCTTTGTGATTGTAACTCATAATAGTCATAAACATTTCCATAATAAAAACTGAAAAGTGTGTAAATAAATAAAGTAAGCCTGTAAGCTGAGAACAAATGTGAAACTATGCAGGCAGAAATGCCATCAAAGGTTGAGACATTTTAATTAATCACTTACACAATATTTCTTTAGCCCTACATTTTACCACATCTTTTAAAACAGAAAATGGTTCAAGGTTGTGTAAAAATATGTAGACATTTCAATTATCCATCTCTGTTTGATTGGAAAAAATCTTTTCTTATTCTTCTATTTGCTGCTTTTCTGTTGCCTTGGTGTTCAGGAGCAAGCTGTGGATCGAGAACACGAGAGAGACTTTTTCCAGCAGGAGATCCAGAAGCTTGAGCAGCAGCTGAAGAGCCCACAGAAGCTGCAGATCGGTTCTGAGCAAAGAAACCGAGAGGTAAGAGGAGAAATGCTCCCTTCCTCTGCCCAAATTCAGGGTATTGGCGAGATGCAGGTCTTTCAGAGTTCGAACTGGGTCTAGGTTTTCGCTAAACAATAGCAGGGTTTGGAGCGTTTGACAGGAGTTAAAGAGGTTGTTTTTTTTTTTTGTTTCTTAGTAATGCAGTGTAATGTATTGGTAGATATATTTTAATTGAAAACAAAATATTACCAATCTTAGACAAGATTGTTTATTTTTGCTTCATATAATTTATTTTAAACATGGATGATGTATAAAAAAGGTTACCTGACTTGTTGAGAACTCTGTTCACTTTGGTTTTATTCGTGACTTTCAGTTTTATTTTTTTGTTAGATTTTTTCTCTCTTTTGCTTATTTAGTCTTGTTAGCCTATGATTTAAGTCTGACGATTTCTATAGAAGTTTCCAGATTATGGTTTATTTTGCATGTAAACAGGCAAAGGTAGCATGTTGGTGGTGAAACGAAGGGAGCGTTTATTTTTCATTGTCAGGATTAAATGTGGGATGAATGCTTTGTTTGGGTATCTTTTTTAGGTTTTATTGTATTTCTGCATGGAACTTATATCCAGAAATAAAACAGACTTCAGACATGTTCCTTTTCCAACATGCCAAAAAAATAACCCCAAAAGTTTCTTAGTTTGCGGTCCTGGGGAGGCATCTCCTGCTTTACAAAAGCATTCTTTGGTTGCTTTTAGTTTTTACTTGTCTGATCTTTGTCGGTACATGTGCAGTGGTCTTTGAGAGGGCTTGTTTTAGAGAAGATAAGACACCTGCACCTACACCAGAGGTTAGAGTGTTGTGTCTATAATAACAAAGAGGTTTTCTGTATGTGTAAAGTCATTTTTCTGTATATTTTGAAACAACATATAGTAGTTTGAAACAAATAAAGTAGTCTAAACTGGGGTTTGAGATGAGTTGATTAAATAAATACTGGGTATATTCACACTGAATTGAATATGATACATATGTATAAATTCACCAAACCATTACTTGATTTAATCCATAAATATTTAAATGTTATAAATAATTGATACAGACTTGAATTCATTAAAACATTAATACAATTAATATGATTGTTATCATTTTATCTGTCATATAGGCTTCACCCTAGCATTTGATCAGTTCCTCCATACACCAGTCCCCTTGTTAATTAGGATTTTCTTTTTAACATCATTTTTTGAAGATGTTTTTGCACTAGTGGCCTTTATTTAAAGAAAAGCTGACAGGAACATTTTCTGTCTCTCCTTAAAATTTAAGTAAATATGCAGTTACAGCTTTGATTTATGTTGATTCGTTCTTATTTTGTCTTTTTTAAGTTGTATATCTTCTCCAGGGGGACACCAACACGCCTGTTGAATGTCCTGGACTTTCCCTTTAAGCATTTCTCTAATCTGCTAAGATTTCTAGAGCATTTTCATCACTAAATGCTTTTTTTCCTCTGCTTGCCTCACGCCCTTGAAATCTCCATCCTGTGGTCCATTATGCTTCTGCCTTCTTTCTCCTGTGGCTATTGCAGGTGGATGGAGTTATCCTGAAGGTACTGCTTCTAGCTGCATCTGATCTCCTCTCTGCAAACATTTAGAAAAGATTTAGTGACCCTTCCTTTGCTTCCCCTCTGTCCTGTTGTGTCTGCCTTAGCTTTTTTCTGAAAAAGTCACTCAACTTAGCCTTTTTGTGCTACTATTTTTTTATTCTATTCAACAGATTTAAAAAAAAGAGTGAAAAATAGCTCATTATATTTGTTTTTGGTTTTGTGCAGTTTATTCAACATATTACAATTAAGACTAAAAGTTACTGAAGGGCCATCTGTAGACTTCACAGTTTTGGACAATTGTCTCTATGCATAAATGAACAAGCTGTCAATGTTCCCTTTTCTTTTACTTTTTTCTTATATTCCAACAATTAAAACAAAACTCACTTTTCAATAAAAAGAAACATTCTAACAGTTTTTTAGTATATTTGAAAACAATATGGAGACATTCTGCTTAGTGCCATTTAGTATTATCCATCATCTCATTGCTGCTTTATAGAAATGTGCTGCTTCAATAATTTTGAATTTCTATAATCTGCCATTAGTTTGAGTGAAACTTTGGGATTCAACAGATAAAGTCTGCTGGCAGGAGGTCATTGGTGTGTTTGGTTTGATCAGGAGGTCAAACTACAGAAGAGTTGAGAGGCCAAACCGGTTAGAAACATAATCGATGGTCATAGGGTGTGAAGAAGTAATCAGTTATTTTAAAAGTCATTTGAGGTTACACAGAAGGGTTATGGATGAAATATATAATCACTAAATCGTATAATCAGAAAGGACCATGTTTGTTATTCTGCCCTACCTAAATGTTACTATAAAGTTATTCTGACTGATAGTAAAGTGTAGCAGTTTAATGATTGTTTGCACATAAAGAAGGAGCTAATACCAAAGCTTTAGGTTCAACATTGCTGTAAAAAAATCTTATTTTATTAACTGCTGTAGCATTAATAACCTTAAAATTTACCATAAAAGTCGGTCAGTTGGAATGGTTCTCCTTACATTTATTAAGATAAATCAAATACCACCGTATTAATAATTTAAACCAATGCTTGTAAGGTCATCATATCTGTCAGCACCTCCTCCTCCATATCTTCTTTGCCTTCACAGGTGGATTGTTTCTCCTTTAGTTGCTCCTGGTCAGTTAAAATCTGTGTGTTTTTTGCCTCTATCCCTGCACGTTTTCTCCACCGACCCCACCACCTCTTTTCTCAGGTGGATCAGCTGACCTTCCCGCTAACAGCACATGTATCAGCTACGCTGTAGCGAGTTGGATCAGATAGTAGATCTCTATAAACAATCCTCCTCCTCTGTTTTATCACTGCTCCTTCTTTCTCTCTCTCTCTCTCTCTCCCTCCTCCTTACCAGGTGGAGCAGCTGAATGCCCAGCTGAAGGAGAAGGCAGATTGGTGCAGTGAGCTGCTGCTCGGCTCCGAGCAGCTGCGTCGTGAATTGGGAGAGCGCGACGAAGAGATTGAAAAGCTGGAGAGCCGCATCCGCGAGCTGGAGCAGGCCCTGCTGGCCAGCGCTGATTCCCTGGAAAAGGTTAGGAGGAGGGAGCAGAGGGGAGGTTGCTTTGGAGACAATATCGGACAGTCTGAATGTTAGCAGTAGAGCTTGGCAGTGTGTGTGTGTGTGTGTGTGTGTGTGTGTGTGTGTGTGTGTGTGTGTGTGTGTGTGTGTGTGTGTGTGTGTGTGTGTGTGTGTGTGTGTGTGTGTGTGTGTGTGTGTGTGTGTGTGTGTGTGTGTGTGTGTGTGTGTGTGAGGGAGCATGAGGATGAGGTGACAGCTGGAGGAGGAAGAGGAGGAGGGCTGGAATCAGAGAGGCAGAACAATGTGTGGGTGGGTCTACTTCAGCCGTCCCGAGAGGGTTCTGTCGCTAAGTTATAGGCTAGCAGTTGTTAAGATTGCCCCCAAGTGTCTAGTGGTGGTTGTGGGGAATGTACCAAAAAGCAGCACAGAAGATTAATTAGTTGGATTTTGCTGCAAACAGCTTAATTTTTACCTCGAGGTCCTGCAGATCAGTTGGTTTGATGCAGAAGGCTCTTCTTTTATGTCTATCTGTGGATGGTTTAGGAAAACTGCTGAGCCATATAGTTTCTTCCGTGTGTGTCGCAGGTTGAACAAAAGAAGCAGCATGCATCCATCAGTGAGACGAGAAACTCCACCTTGGAGGCTCAGCTGCAGACAGAGAGAGAGGCTCTGGAAAGAAAAGAGAAGGAGGTAAGAAGGAAAACTTTATGTCAAAGTTATAAAATATATTCCTCAGTCTGTTCAAACCCAGGCTGGCATCCTATCTCATCCTAAAAGTATATTATAGGGTACTGTTCTTGGACTTTGGAGGCAGTTTTTTATAGAAGTAGATTCCTCTTACATATTTTCATACTTAGGTCATCTGGTCGGTCAGCTGTACATCAATCGTTCCATCCATTCATTTATTCATTCATCCATCCATCCATCCATCCATCCATCCATCCATCCATCCATCCATCCATCCATCCATCCATCCATCCATCCATCCATCCATCCACCTGTCCATCCGTACATCTATTTGCTTTCCATCCATTGCCTTTACCAGTTCATCAGTGTTTCTAACCTTCTCTCTTCTCTCTGTGTGTAAATCTTGCCTATAAATTCACTATGGACATAGATAATATATAGTTTTTAGCTTTTATCATACTTTTTCTTCTTGTTCAACCACACACTGAATACAATGTTTTTACAGTCTGGTGCAAAAACCGGACCAGTAACTAAAGTCCATATCCTCCACGATCTTTTAAATGTATTTTCTTTTGCCTGATTTCTATTTTATGTCAGATATGTAACCTGGAGGAGCAGCTGGAGCAGTTCAGAGAGGAGCTGGAGAATAAGAGTGAGGAGGTGCAGCAGCTTCACATGCAGCTAGAGATCCAGAGGAAGGAGATCAGCAGCCAGCAGCAATTTGTAGAAACAAGGGACAGTATGCTCCAGGTAAGAGGACTCTACTGTCATGGAAAACAATTAACGCTGTCTTACAAAAGTATTTAAACCAATTTGTTTATTTCATATTACATGTCATACTAAATCCATATGATTGACAAACACAAGGTGGTGACCAGCTGTGAAGTTGGAGACATATTTTTTAGTTTTAGTATAAAAACTAAAAAATGTAAACATTTAGTGCTACATCTCTCAGTTTGTAATGCATTCATATACGTACACTGTTTCTTACTAAATACAATGAAATACCGAGATGTAAATGTGTGGTAAAGTTGTAAAATTCAGGATTTTCAACAACAATTTAACATCTTGAACAAAATGTAAGATCTTAAAAGAAATTTGCCAAGACAGAATGATAAAAACCTTTTTGTTTTGTTGTATATAAATGACTCACTTAAAGCTGCATCATCATGTTTGGTTAACAAATGTGAAAAACATGACTTTTCTCTACAGATTATTTTCTTTTTTTCTATCTATATTTTGCATATCTTTAAGCTTTGTTCTCCCCATTGTTTTGCTTTGCAATACTCACTGTTGTGACATTTCCACTTTCTCATAGTATAAATTTCCAGCTTTCCAGCAGAAAGACTTTGAGTGGATCAAAATGATGTTTATTAATAGCCATTGCGTTATAATTTCTGACTCTTGAAGGTGATGGAAGAGAAGGACAGGGAAATAGCTCTTCTTAATGCACAGATCTCTAAGCTTCAACACATGGAAACAGCCTCTGACAACAAGGTAACCCAACATGCGCATACGAAATACAGCCAGAGTCCTGTTTCGTTGACGCATTGCTCCATCAACATCCATCTGTGTGTTTTTCTTGGCTCCTGTTTCATTTTATTTTGCTCCTCACTGCTCCCTTGTTTATTTTATTTTCTGGTTTGATTTTGTTTCGGTGAGTAGGTTGATAGCATCATCTTGTGTCTTGAGGTGGTTTGTTTGTCTGAGGTGACCTATTAGACCTCTGAGTCCTTAGTGATTGAACATATTTGGATTCTGTGGCAAATATACATAAAGAAACTGGTGATTATATGGATTGGCTAATTCTAATTTCCTGGTCCTGACTGGTGACCAGCTGTTGTGAATTTAAAAACAATAGTCTTTTTCCAGGACCCAATAAGCTTCTCTAGAGACGCACTTTAGTATAGGGATGCTATCATCAGTATCAGTGATTTATTTAGAAATGAAGTCAGAGTGCAATTAAACAATAAAATAAAGCATTTTATTAGAGAAAAAACTGAATTAACAATGTTGACATGTACTGTTGAGTAAAAAAGTAAATGCCTAAATAAAAAAAACGTTTGCTTTAAGTCATTCTTCCTTCTAAGTTTCAAAGGGAACTCACACTGCCATAAGCAGCATCTCTCTCTGAAGCTCAGAGATGTAAGAAACTATTTCAAGTAAATTGTATTTTCAGTGACATGATGTATGTCTGCTGAAAAATTAGGCTGAGAGAGAGTTGGAAGTTTATGCCGACCTGCAGTTTTATCCTTTTGAGATTGATTTACGGATGTTCGAAGCATTAAGTAAGAAACATTTTTATAGATAAAACACATAAAAACTACTTTTCTTGTAACACTAATAATGCTAAATGCTTAACTGCATAAAAGTTATTTAGAATATCACTGCTAAAGATATTGCAGAGCTTTTTTCAAAATCTTTTTTCAAGTGGTATTTTGTAAGAAAAATCTAATTCTCCTAAAATCTGCATCTGGAGGTTAAAAGAAAAATGGCTAGAAATCCTCTTTAGCTTTGCTACATCTCTAAATTATAAAAAAAAAAAAAAAAAAAAAAAAAAAATGGCAAGAAATCCTGTTTTGAACTACAGCAGTGACTCAGAGGTTTAATCATGTTGGGGGACATCCATGATCTTGTTAATACTCTGCTCTGCTGAGATATTAATCAGTGTTTCTTGATCCTTCAGGAAATTGATGCAAGGGAAGAGCTGATTAAAGACCTGGAGTCCCAGGTAGAGTGTCTGCGGAGTGAGCAAGATCGCCTAAAGAAGGATAAAGAGGAAGAGCAAGACCAGCTGAATGCTGTTATAGAAAAACTCCAACAGGACCTGGCTAACATCGAGCAAAAACAGCCTGCAGAGGAGGAGGAGGAGGATGCTAGAGGAGAGTTGGGGAGCAGCGCATGCAGACCAACCAAAGAGAAGTATGATGAAATGAAGCAAATTGACGCAAGGGAAGAGCTGATTAAAGAGCTGGAGTCCCAGGTAGAGTGTCTGCGCAGTGAGCAAGATCGCCTAAAGAAGGATAAAGAGGAAGAGCAAGACCAGCTGAATGCTGTTATAGAAAAACTCCAACAGGAACTGGCTAACATCGAGCAAAAACAGCCTGCAGAGGAGGAGGATGCTAGAGGAGAGTTGGGGAGCAGCACATGGAGACCAACCAAAGAGGAGTATGATGAAATGAAGCAAAAGATGGATGCGGCCACCAAAGAGGTGGATGCCCTAAGAGCAGAGCATGGTAAACTGCTGGACACCTACCTGCGCTTGAAACAAAGTGCTGCAGCTTTGGCTGAAACAGAAAATACGGAGAGTGCAGAAAGCGAGCTTGAGGAAGCTCTGAGAGAAAAAACAGCAGGGGTTGTGGTGCTGCAGGCTGAAGTTCAGGCATTAGAGCAGAGTGCTGCATCCAGAATGGAGGAGTTAGGACTCCGAATCCAGGAGCTTGAAGACTTAGTTGTTGAAAAGGACTCTGAAATAAATCGCTGTCAGGCACTTGTGGAGCAAACGCAAAGCTTTGCTGATGATCTCCAAAAGAAGGTTTCTGCTCTGGAGGAGAGCGTGAGGGAGAAAGCGGCAGAAGCTGTGGTCAGTCAAGCCACATTGGAGGCCTTTCAGCAGCAGCAGAGATCTGAAGGAACGAGACAACAGCAAGAGATGGAGAAACAGCCAGCACCCGCTGTCTATGAGTTTGGGGACTTTGGAATCCCAAAAATGGATTTAAGCAGTATGGGACATGCCCAACAGGCACCTAGAGGAAAGGTAGTTCATCTGACTGAGAAGCTTCGGGACTTAGAGGTCGGACTGAGTGGAATGCAGAAAGACCAGGAACTCCAGAAGCAGCTGCTTTCCAGCTCAGAGGAGGAGGTGCTGGAGTATGAGAGGAGGCTGGCTGTGCTAATGGATCTCCTGAGTCAGATGAAGGCCGGATCCCACCAAAAAACAACCCCGACTGTGGAGGTGAGGATCATACATCGCATCAATCTGAGTCGTTCTGTAATCTCCAGATATATAAATTTTAAATTACATCAGTCTGATCAAGTCATTAGTTATCCCTTTTTCATTAACATTCAAAATGTTTAATTCTAAAAAAATAAACATTTGCAAACCACCGATAGCTTATTGAAATTTAACATATATGTATTTTTATAAAGGATATGCTCTCATTCATTTCTTCTATAAATGTGGATGGATGGATGGATGGATGGATGGATGGATGGATGGATGGATGGATGGATGGATGGATGGATGGATGGATGGATGGATGGATGGATGGATGGATGGATGGATGGATGGATGGATGGATGGATGGATGGATGGATGGATGGATGGATGGATGGATGGTTTAAGTATATTAACTATTTGCTATATTGTCTAAGAACAGGGCTGTAGATATCTCTTAGAATAATATATGTGGCCTTTAAACAATGCTTTTACAATTCTAAATATGCTAATCCTAGCTTTAAAATGCTTGTGATAGTTTAAAAAAAGCAAATACCAAGGTTTTTATTTGGGTTTTATTAAATCGTTTGGCTAATCTACAGTTGTACCTTCCACAAAATAACAAAATAGCATTTGGGATTAATTAAATCTACTTCTATAGATTTAAGTATAAACACATTCCTGATAAACTGGAATACCAACATCTTTACCCCAGGAAACATTTATTGAAAATTATGCAAGCAGAAATCCCTAATAAAGATGATTCCTAGATTTTTTTTTTTATAAACATATTGCAGCAGTAACAAAACACAACCATTTAGACCCTGATAGACGTTAAACAATGTACAAAACTCTAATATTTCATGAACAAGGAGGCAGTGCAATGATTTAAAGACTGGCGTCACATGGTCAGTATCCAGGAGCAGTCAGCAGCATTTCAGTAATGTTAACTAATTAGAATAAAATGTCACATTTCCATAGAAATTGTATAAACCAAAATGTAAACGTTTTATTATATTAGTTAGTAACAGACTTTTGGTTTTAGTTTAAATTTCAGCTTTAGTATATGATTGCAAATGAGAAAATCTGTAAGTACTATGGCAAAAATTGTGTTTACGTCTGTACTCAGAAGCTCTTTGTAATATTATGACTTTAACTGGATCATGCTGTTGGCATCAGATCTGCTGGTTATGGTGATTTAAACACCTTCACTGTCTTTGTTTTGATTTTATTCATACCAATAATTCATCCTTTTTTTCCACTTTAGGTGATCTCTCCAGTTTTGTAGTTATTGAACCAAGCTTAAGATAAATATAATCAAAGCTTTTATTTTTTTTAAGTTTCTGTTTGGCCTTTAGAGCCTCTTAAAATGGGGATTTAAAGTATTGAGTTTGAGTTTTTATGAGATGGATTAAGGTATCACAGATGAGCTACTGTGTTTGGTAAATCCAGTCAAGATTTGACAAAGTTTTAAGAATTTAGAATAGACTCTGAAAGTTTAAGATGCTGCAAAAAAGAAAAACTGATCCAGAATCCATCATTAGCCTTAAGTTGTTGGATACTAAGTTGTGTATTTCTTTTTGAGCTTGAAATAATATAAGAATTTTTGAATGGAAAATGTAGAGCTCTGTAGAAATAATAATATAAATGTTATACTGACCATCTTTTACACTTCAGGTTAATATTTTAACAACAAAAACCCCTTAGATTATTGTAGTAAAGTTTAAGCCTAAAGGGCCATTTTTTTAATCTCTAAACATGGCCTCCTTATCAGGCATCCTCTGCTGAGCAGCCAAGCGGGTCTGAGCTTCTTCAAAAGCTGCAGGAGGTCAGAGAGGAGGCCTCTGTCACCAAAGAGCAGCTGCAGAGCTTCCAGGAGCGCTGCAGCAGACTCCAGCAGGAGCTCCAAGTATGTGCTGCTACATCTTTCATCAGACAGCTGTCTCACTGTCAGTCAAATAGTCGAATGACAAACTTTAACCTTCATTTCCAGGAAAAAACTGTGACTGTGGAGAATCTCCAGAACCAACTTCAAACTGTAAGAAAATCAACATGATTCCTCGACCTCTATATCGGTTTTAAAAGAAAGCCTAAAACTGTTTTTGTTATAGAAGTCAACGGATGCTGAGGAGGAGACGGAGATGTCTAATCGACTAATCGAGGCTCAGACTGAGGCAACTTCAGCCAAAGAGGAGCTGAGCAGCTGCAAGGAGCGTCTGGATAAACTGCAGGAGCTGCTGCAGGTAACTTAGGATTTGACTAACATTTCGTATGACTCATCTTTATGTTTTAATTCATTAATGAGATGCGGAATATTTCCTATGTGCCGATTATGAATCTTGAGCCTGACACTGATTGATTACCCTTGAAGTAGGCAGGGAAAAAGCTATTCTGACTGATTGAAAGCCTGTCATATAAATTAAATAAGTCGATGTCTCGTTGTCCATTGAACACACTTGCAATATGTTGTGGATGTTATTTTATTCAGATATGATTATTTCATTTTTTTTTTTTTTCTGTTTTAATATTACTAACATTTTCAAGGGAAAACTTTTTTTTTAGAGCTGTTTTGACCAAAGTTTCAACTTAGTCTTAAAAAGCTTAGTTAAACTTGCTGTTAACTTGTTTCAGTTGGCAATATTAGAAAATAACTGAAAACGTTTATTTCCATTTCGGGGGGGGGAACAAACAAAAAAAACTGCATGATGAAAAAGAGATCTTTGTACCTTTATCTCTATTTAAAGCCGATTCTGTTTGTTCCACCACACACAATAATAAGAGGCCACTAGTATTTATATTTTTATTTTCTGATTGAGAACCACTTATGAAGGACTTGATGCAAAGAGTTGATCACTTCACTTTGACTTTTTCTGTATTTTGGGATAAAAATGGGTTTGAGTTTAGTTACATCTTTGTTATTTACAAGAAACAAATAAAGGTTCCAAAGATGAACAATTTCTCCCTTTAAAAAAAAATAAAAATGTAATAATTTGTATATATTATGACGATTTAATAATTTTAAAGCTGTTAATCAGCCTTGTTTTTCAAATCTGGCGAATCAGGAACCAACTGCAGTGAGAAAAACCAAGAAAACGCTTAAAGCTTTTATTAACATTTTGAAGGAATATTTTTGGTATAGGATATAAAAACTACATGAAGAGAAAAATCTAAGTGTAGAACAGGGATTGCATATTTTTGACCTTATGTTTCCTTTACATGATTATAGTAAAACCTTTTTGTTCTCAGGAGCGGGAAATGACCATTGCTCACCTTAAAGGAGAACTTTTCCAAGTGAGTTACTCATGCTCCAGGCTCTGAATAATGATTTATCATCTGTGGCTGGATTTAATATTTGGTGTCTTTCTTTAACCATCCTGCAGGTAAAAGCTACAGAGGACGGAGCTGACTTGAGCCAGCTCCTCCAGGAGCTCGAAGAGGCCAAAAGAGAGGCAGCTTCTGCCAAAGAAGAACTAAATCTCTCCAGGGAGCATCAGGAGAAACTTCAAGAGGATGCCCAAGCCCGTGAGGTCTCACTGTCTGAACTCAGAGAGGAGTTAGAAGAGATGAGAAGCAGTGTGGATTCCACCAAAGAAGAGCTAACTAAATATCAGCAGCAAAATGAGAAACTTCAAGAGGACATTCAAGCTCGTGAGGTTTTGTTCTCTGAGCAAAGAAAGGAGCTGCAGGAGATAAGCAGTAGTTTGGACGTTTCCAAAGAAGAACTATCTAAATATCAGCTACGAAATGAGGAAATTTGTAAAGAAGTTCAAGCTCAGGAGGTTTCTCTATCTAAACTCAAAGAGGAGCTGCAGGAGATGAAAAGCAGTTTGGACGCCTCCAAAGAAGAACTATCTAGATATCAGCAGCATAATGAGAAACTTCTTGAGGAAGCTAAAACTCATGAAGTCTCGCAATCTGGGGTCAGTGAGCAGCTCCAGGAGATGAAAAACAGTTTGGACGCCTCCAAAGAAGAACTATCTAGATACCAGCAACGCAATGAGGAACTTTGTAAAGAAGTTCAAGCTCAGGAAGTTTCTCTTTCTAAAGGAAACGAGGAGCTGCAGGAGATGAGAAGGAGTTTGGACGCCTCCAAAGAAGAACTTGCGAAATATCAGCAGCATAATGAGAAACTTCTTGAGGAAGCTAAAACTCGTGAGGTCTCGCAATCAGGGGTCAGTGAGCAGCTCCAGGAGATGAAAAACAGTTTGGATGCCTCCAAAGAAGAACTATCTAGATACCAGCAACGCAATGAAGAACTTTGTAAAGAAGTTCAAGCTCAGGAGGTTTCTCTATCTAAAGGAAATGAGGAGCTGCAGGAGATGAGAAGGAGTTTGGACGCCTCCAAAGAAGAACTTGCTAAATATCAGCAGCATAATGAGAAACTTCTTGAGGAAGCTAAAACTCGTGAAGTCTCGCAGTCTGAGGTCAGTGAGCAGCTCCAGGAGATGAAAAGCAGTTTGGATGCCTCTAAAGAAGAACTCAGAGGCTACAGGCAGCAAAATGAGAAGCTCGTCGAGGAGCTTCGCATCCGAGAGCTTTCTATTTCCAGTCTAAAGAAGGAGCTGCAAGAGGCGCAGGCAGCTTTGCTGAAGACGTCAGAATCTGTTACTCCATCACCCTCACCTTCTCCCTCTCCATCTCCTCAGCCTGCCTTCTCTGCCTCCTCAACATCCACCGCACAGCCCAAAAGGAAAGGAGGTAAACAGCAAGCTGCAAAGGGAGGCGCTCCCAAAGAGAAGCAATCACTCTCCAGGAAAAACTCCAGCCAGAAACCTCAGAGCCTTCAGTCGAACAGCAGCTCAGATCACCAGCATGAGGCTACCACAGAGTCCTTTACGCAGACCGAACCCTTCCAAATGACGGATCTCAGCCAGTCTGCCGCCAAGGAACAGATGGAAGAAGTGATCGGAGAATTTGAAGAGAAGATTGCCCAGATGCAGGAGCTCCATGCGGCAGAGATCCTTGATATGGAAGCTCGGCACATTTCTGAGAGCGAGAACCTTCGCAGAGACACTCAAGCTCTGGAAGACGAGTGTAAGGGTCTCAAAGCTGTTATCGACAAACTCTACTCCACTGAGGTGAGTCCAAGGAACAGAGAAACGTGGTCACAACCTCTAGACTTTTTATCATATTCAGTCATATTAAAACCAGTAATTAGCAGTACTTCTGGTCTGTCGGATGAAATCCCTATAAAACACAATAAAGTGTATTTTTTATGTTCTGAAACACTGGAGGTTTGTACAGAAAACTAGTTTAATCTGAAATATCTTTGATTATATTTTCATATTTTTATGTTTTGTGTTTAATTTTCTCTTGTTCCGTATAGGTCCCTCCATCAAGACAGGACCGTCCCGCATCACATAAAGACGGCTACACCAGTGGTGAGAAACTCCACATTCAGTCCGTTTAACTATCTCCTTAAACATTAAGATACACAAGTTTACAGATGAAGTCCATGAGCAGTTTTTGGTTCAGCTCTTAGGCCTGCTGCACTTCCTCACCTTGCTGTTTGTCTCATGTTATATTTTAAAATATACGGCTGAGTTGAAGTATTATTTCATTTTGAGTTTTTTTGTTTTCTGTCTTGCAGACAGCAGCTCAGACTACAGCCAGAGGACAGGATTAGATCTCCCCAGCTTGCAGCAGGAGTTCAGGACAACTCCAGAGGGTGCAAGGAGAGAAGCTGATGATCCTCTGCCTGACCGGATAAAGGTGAGAAGTTATGAGTGACCAATAAATACCTGTATAAAGTTTGTTTTTGTGTGTGGAACATTCCTTTTTTTTTTTTTTCTGAGCAGACGTTGCTCCGCGAGGTGCACCAGGAGGGAATGCAGGTCCTGTCCCTATCTGAGCTCCCCCTCTCTGAGGGAGAGCCAAGCAGCCAGTTCAACGTGGACGGCTGGGTGAAGGAGAGAGACGCCCTGCTGGCCACGGTTCAGTCTCTCAAAATCCTCATCAGCCAGATGCAGACGCACAGCCAATCACAGGTACAGGAGGCCAGTTTGTCAAAGGTCAAACCAGTCAGAAGCTGCAAGGTGTAGAAGAGGAGGATTAGTCAGAAATAATGACAAATTATTTATTTTTGGTTAATAATGTTTTATTTTGCATCAACTGCTTTTTCAGACATATTGAGTTAATTCTATATATCTGATCCTTTAAAAAAAATAGTGTTTTGATAATCTTGGTGTTTGTTTAAAAGAGCTATTTAAAACAAATCAGTTGATTCTGATATGTTTTATGTTGGATTTTTATTAGATTTAATCAGCCTTAAAGGTAATAAAAAACAAACAATAACTAATTTCTGAACAATACAAATGACAAGAATATGTCCTCCATCCATGTATCTTCACCCAGTTGTCCTTGAAGAGTCATGAGATGTGGGGTGTGGGGTAGACCCTGAATGGGTCATCAGTCCTTAACAGAGCAAAAATATATTAGTCTAGAATTATACTTGAAAAATAAAGAAAGTAAAGCTAAATCATGCTTAGGGTGTCTGATTATACTGATCTAAATGCCAAATTTAACACTTGAGTTCTTTAAGTGAGAACTAATTTAATAAATTGGAAGTGCTCTTCAGACATCATAAACAAAGGGAAATAATATGTAAAGGTTTAAGAAAAGACCAGATTACATTATGTGAGTTATGTTATAGCGTTAATGCTAATGTGTTTTATTTGACGAAGTTGTGCAGAAGAGGTGAAAAGAAAAGAAAACAAATTACAAAGCTATCAGACCTTCATGATATTCATGAAGACATAACATTGAAATGAGAAAATGTTAATTATTTAGGAAAAGATTCAGATTTTGTTAACTAATTTTTATTTAGATCTTATCAGGAGACACTTCTTTTTCTGGGTTCATCTTCATGTGTCTAAATTACTACAGAGAAAATGATACAAGCTTCTAAGCAGAATCATTGAGAGAGGGCAGTGCTGCCAGGGTCCAGATCTGACAGAAAGCTGTGGTCATTAACCAGACTCCTGCTCTGCTTGTACAGAGACCCGATAGGCAGTGTTGGGAAAGTTCTCTTTCTACGTGAACTAGTTCAAAGTTCAGTTCACACATTTTAAAATGAACTAGTTCAGTTCATAGTTCATAATTCAAAACCAAAAAATGAACTAGTTCATAGTTCTTTTTTTTTTTTCATATATTGCTCAATTACACCATAGCCTACTGTAGAACCACAGACAGCAATTATTTTATCAGTTGTAACTCTGAAACTGTGAGTCAGATTTCATCTTCATATCCAGTTTTGAATCCTTATCCAACCAGGGTTTACATTAGCATAGAGGGGACAGCATTTCCCCATTGTTGCTTTAACGCTTTGTTGCTGTCCATTCACTTCACACTAGTAGCAGCTGCAGCTTTCACCCCTACAGTATATTCTCAAAAACATCAGCAAAAATGTGCTGCTTGAATGGAATTATTAAAAGAAAGATAGGAAAGTAGTCTTTAAGGTGCAAATGTTTTTTGTTTTTTTTTAAATAATTTTTTCCATTTGAAATTCCATTTCAATACATACTAAAAAGGAATAGTGGAATCCTGGAAAATTATACCAGGCAGGTTTAACAAACAAGTTACATGGATAGTAAAACCCTCAAGAACAGGGGTCTTCTATGTTTTCCAGACCAAGGACCCCCAAACTGATGGCGAGATGGAGCGGGGACCCCCTAACTATATATATTGTATGAAATTGTGTCCTATAGTCACTCTATTACAGATGGAGTAATGTAAAGAAATTAATTTCTCCCTGGGATTATTAAAGTTTTTCTGATTCTGATTCCTGGTTGTTGTGAAGGAAACGGTGCCCAGCTTGAAAGAGCTCCTGTGTGTCGCTGAATGTGTGCATTGATGACTGAAAGACATCTTCTGCCTCCATTTATCTGTTTACTACAGTGTGTTAATTTCATGTTAATGAGTATTTAAAGACATTTCAATTAGTGGGGGAAAAATTGCAGGGGGCGGATCCCCTGTTGAAGACCTCCGCTCAAGAACATTTTACTAACACAAACTGAGGGACCAGGCTGAGGTAGGAATTTAAGGTTACTGAAGTGCGGATTTTTTTACTGAAAGCCGGCGGGCAAACTTGTTGCCATCATCCTCACCGGCCACCTGGTCATAAACCTGTTTTAAGTGATCATACTGCTGCTTTGTCGCCTCCACGTTCGCCTCCATGCTGCATTTTGTTTTGATGACGCACGCGGCTGTGGGCTACGACACTGATAGCTGGTGTTGCCAGATTGGGTGTTTTTCCCGCTACATATTAAGGCCTGTTTACGGTGTGATTTAGCCGGGGTTTCGCCTGGAGGACTCTATAGAAATCTGGCAACCTATTGAACGGAGCTGAACTGAGAGAGCGTGCCGTTCACAGACACCAGAATGAACGAGTTCACAATAACGTTCTTCAGGAAGTAATGCAGTACGTTCAGTTCACGTTCGCCCAAAATATGAACGAGTTCATGAACTTTCGTTCAATGAACGCGTTCAGGCACAACACTGCTGATAGGCCCCTGGAGAAGGGCTTTAGACTGTCGGATGTTTTCTCCAGGTCCACAAAGTTTGGACAAGCTGGCATGTATCTTCTTGTAGAGCTCGATCAGTGTTTCAAAGCCAGAACAAACAAACCCACCTTTGTTGTGATCATATCAATTAGCTTTATATTTGATTAAGAGTGAAAAATAAGACTCTTAATTCCTAACCTGAGACAAGAATAGAAAGAAAAACAATGTTTGGTAAAATCTCTGAAAAAAAAAAAAAAAATTAATCGGCTAACAGAAACATCCAGCTCTGTCTTTGTGTCTGTCTCATGTGTTTCTCTAATGTCCCGCAGACGTCAGCTGTTGGTGCTGACTGGCGCGCAGAGCTGCTGGATGCTGTCAGACAGGTGTTTGTGAGGGAGAGAAGCGTGCTGAAGAGCGCCCTCTACAGCCAGTTGGATCTGTTAGACACCAGTGATGCCATCGTTCACCTCAATCAACTGGAGCGCAGACTGGCTGAACAGGTGTGAAACAACAGCTTCATCTTTTTAATACAGATTATTTTAATGCTGTGGAAAGGGTAAAGAAAAGGCTTTAATAATATAAAGTATGTGTTTATATCAGAGATGCTCTGCTCTGTTTAGCTTCACTTGTTGCTGTTTTATTTGGTTCTTGATGGATGTTTTGTGGCCCTGATGCAGGACGCCCACAACAGGGAGGCCATGGGGTCGCTCCACACTGCAGAAAGGTCAAGTCTTATCTCAGAGATTCAGCAGCTTAGAGGTCAACTGGAGATGCTTCATCAAGGTAAACCAGCTTGTAAACATTTATAAATGTCTGATCTTCCCTGGACTTTAAGTTTCTACACTCCTGTTAAATCTCCATCTGTTTGTAATGTTCAATTCAATGGAAAACAGACCTTTCAGAAGTCAGAAAATATGGGAAGATGGAAAAATCTGGTGATAATCTCAGAATTAAAATTCAAATCCCCAAAAACTTTTATACCAGAGTTCAGGATTATTACTTGGATAAAGTAGGAATATTAAAGGTAGCTATAATTCTGTGAATAAAACCAGAATTCTGAGATTAGGGTCAGAAATAAATTACCTTTTTTTTTTATTGAGTGGCAAGTTTTTTTGTGATATGTGAAGTTCCTGCAGCTGGACCTGCACTAACGTCGGCCCCTTGCCTGTTTCTGTGCCCCCATAAATTTTGGACAAATGTCCAGCTTTTTCCCTGTCCCATATGTTCTGCTTTGACCATCTTTACTGTGACATTGCGTACATCTAACTCTTTGGATGTTTCTGTAAGGTTATTTTGATGATACATTTATCAGAGAGACTCTTTTTATTTAGGTAACTTAAGTGTTAAGTTGAAGCTGTACTCGTTTATTCAATAAGATTATTCCAGCTTTTTCACATTTTCCATTAGATCGGCTTTGAGATGAGTTGTTCAAAATATGCGTGATTAATGGTGGAAATAATCTGTAGGTGCTGTTTTTAATTCACAGAAACCTGACATTTACAAGCTTTTGCATCTCTATTATTTGTATCCATAAATTACTTATGATGAAGTCTTTTTTTTTTATTGTTTAGGTGCAAAGCCCGGCCTGTCTTCTGCTGCTGATCAAAACACAAAGGAGCAGAGGGGAGCAGCAGCTGATGGAGCAGCAGAAGCAGACAGGCTGATCTCAGAGGAGGTGAAAGCTGAACTTTCTCAGACAAAACTGGAGCTGGAGACGACACGAAAGGCCCAACACAAACACCTGCAAGAACTGGACACACTAAGGTAGGACGTGAGGCAGAAGTGACTGTTTCAGATGTTTTCATGTCTGAGATGGTTTCCTTTAATGTGCTTCTTTGATCTTAGAGGCTAGAATGATCCAAAAGTTTAAGTAAAGAATAAAAAAGTTAGAACTTTACAATAAGTGAATAAATTCTAATATCATAGATGATGATGAATTAGAATAGAATCGACTTTCACCTGAGGATAAATCGTCCTTTGAAACTGGGCTTTGGTGACGATCTTTCTATAGAGTTGAAACAGGCCACTCCATAAAAATCTGGCCTCGGAGGTACCGATTGTGTCTTCCTGATGACGCTGGTTATTCATTAAAACTGCAAAAGTTCCTTCCTTAATGTTTAAGCTGAATGCACATGGACTAGTTTTCTTGTTTTCATTAAGAACATGGTAAAATGAAACAAGAGAAGAGGTCCGCTTTTCTTCCTCTTAAACGGCTCTTAAGTTCTGGAAGACTGAGGATTTACACCAGGGCAAAGTCCTCCGCTTTTGGTTCTGGAGTGACCTTTACACAGATCACAACAATAAACCTGTAAAAAGTGCAGGCTTAAACTGCTTTTTAAACATTATTCCTAGATAAAGAAGAACTTAGTGTAAAAATTGAAATATATCTTTTGTTTTGGTTGGCGATATAGAAACAAAACTTGTTAAAGAATGATCTAAGAAAAAAAATCTGCTAAATTGTTTTATGAATCGCGATTATTGATCAGCTTTATTGAGTCCAGCTTTCAGTTGAGTCATAACTGAGTCGGCTGTCCTGAAGCGTAGTGAGCCGTAATCTGGGTGTTTATGTGTAGAAACAGAAGGTGCACAGAGTCTTTTGCTTGTAAGTAGAAGTGAATAAAATCTGAAGCCAGAGGGATTTTCATCATTTAGTTTGCACTGATGTGTCGGCAGGGCGGAGGTGTCCCAGAGAGCTGCAGAGGTAGACGCCTTGAATGATGAGTTGATGGAGGAGAAGAGGAGAAGCAGAGATCTTCAGTGGGCAGTGGAGAAAGAGAGGTGTCGATCTGGAAGAGATGAGGAGAGCAAACGAGAGGAACTAGAGGTAAAACAGACGAGCATCCTTAGCATCTGATCTTTTATCGTTAAACATTCCTTTGAGGGAAAGTTTTGATGTCGTCCTTCAGGACCTGCAGCTGGCTCTAGACGAGCAGAAGGCTCATGTAGACCAGCTGACTCAGACCCTGGAGCAGGAGCGCCAGGCCTCCTCTCAGCTCTCCCAGCAAGTGGAGGAGGATCACCTCAGCCTTAGGAGACGCCTGCAGGAACTGGAGGTCCAGCTGGAGACCGAGAGAGCGAAAGCCCTGGAGATGAGTTCTGCCTTGGGGAGAGAGAGGGAGCTGCGCACCAGCATCTCCTCAGATGGCGGTCGCTCCAGTGAAGTGGGCGCCCATGAGGACAGGGGGGAGCCTGAGAGGGAGGGAAGTCTGCTTGAAAGACTGCAGAGGGAGCTGGATGACAAACACACACAGGTGAGATTTAGGTTGTTTTCTATACTTGACAGGAACTCTGGTCAGTTTTTTTCTACAGGGGAAGCTTACATTAAAGAGAATATCAAGCATCTGAGGTCTAATTCAATTTACACAGAAACCATTTTAATCCAATTCAGTTAAAACCTACTTGTTTTTTCTAATCTTAATGTCAAATCAAGACAAAAAGTGTCATTGTTGCTGTTTTAACAAATTTTTAGATTATTTATTGACTCTGTTATAATTACTTTTATGTCAGTGTTTTTTTTTGGCATAAAAGTTGACAATGATGTTAAGTTGTTAAAAAGGAAAAAGTGTTATTTATTATTTCTCTTCAATGCAATTACATCTAAGTTTAGTTGAAACAATTAAAATAGTATTTATTTATTTTTTCCTATCTTTCCCAACGTGAACTGCTTTTGGCTTATTTATAATTTTCAACTGAAATAGCGTCTTTTTTGACAGTATGCTGACAGGAAATGGCCTCTGCTCCTTTAAAGGCAGAAACAAAGTGTTGAATAAAGTTAACAGATTTAGATCTTGCTGATGGAGGTGATGGATATCTTGTTTCTTCTTTATTTTACTCCCATCTCCAGGTGGTTAATCTCCTCAGTCAGGTGGAGGTCCAGCAGCTGGAAGTGGTGCGAAAAGAAGAGGAGCTTACTCTGGCAAATCAGAGGTCCAAACGAGACCAGGATAAACTCCAGGAGGCTAAAGGCCAGCTGGAGCAGCTGACGGTACGAATGTCGGAGGTCCAACAGCAGCTGGACAGAGCGCTGGAGAAGAGCAAGAGTCTGGAGAAGGAGAAGAAGCGACTGGAGGAGAGGCAGAACCAGTTAGGAACAAGGAAGGAGAATGAGCCTCAGAGTGTGAGCAGCAGTGTTTAATTTAGTAGTTGATCTCTGATCAAAGCTACCAGTTGGATTAAATACTTTCTTTGTTTTTTCCCAACAGCAGAGCGAGCCCAGCGATAGAATCAAAGACTGGGTTCTCCAGCAGAAGAGTGGAAGCGGCCAGTCAGCGAGCAGCACCTCATCCCCTCATATGGAGGGTCGTGCTGTAGACCTCCCAGACGGACCGCACCATGGGCCGTGGCGCACAGTCGACAGGATTGTAGGGAAACTCCATCTTGTTTCCTCAAAGATCCGCAGCATGGCCAGCAAAGCTACGGGCAGGTAATCCATACAGCCCCCAGAATGGAATGTTTTTTTAAAATATATTTTCATATAGATTTTAATTTAAAGATTTTGAACAGATGCTAAAGTTTACTTAAATCAATTATGACCAGTTACTGGTCTAAATCTAAAGCTAACCTAAATTTTGTCATGTAATGTGTACAGTTTGTTTTCTTCTCACAATCACGAAAATATGGTATTTTGTATTTCATTGACAGGATACAAGCAAAGAATAATAATATTTATTTAATAGTTGTTCAAGCTTTTGATCCATGGACTCAAAAATCAGTGATTAATGCCTTATTTTTTCAAAGTTTAAGACAGTATAACATGGGAAAAGAGATTTCAGTATAAAAAGTTAGATAATTAGATAAAGCTTTTTACCTAAAATATTGATTTATTAGTTCGGATTACTTTTACAGGTCGATTGTGGAGTTCGACAGCGAGGAGCTTTCATGGGTTCAGTCCAATGTTGATGAGGTCATCAGCATACTGCAGCAATCCCCAGGTTTACCCTCCATCCCAGAGGTAACTTTTTTCCTCTTATCTTGTCTGAGAAGGCTGTATGAGAGGATGGAGCCTGTTGTCAGCTGGTGGTGTTTTCCAAACAGCATCTGCAGTTCTCGGTTGTGACAGCTCATCATCTGTCTCCCTCAGAGTGTTTCCCTGCTGGCAGGAGGCTCGTCCAGCTCCTCCAACAACCTGACAGAGCGGCTGCTGAGGCAGAACGCCGAGCTGACTGGGTTCGTGAGCCGTCTGACAGAGGAGAAGAACGAGCTGAGGAACCACACGCTGCGCTTGGAGGAGGAGCTGCGCCGCTATCGGCAGGCTGGAGTGGGATCTGCAGACAATGTAGGTGCATTGCTACAGAAGAAAAAAAAGGAATTTGACCAAAGTGAATTCAATTGTACATTCCTAAATCCCTCTACAGCCCAGCAGGAGAGGTGTGTCAAAGGCAGAGACGCTTCTCTCTCAGGAGAGGGAAGCTTGGACTCGAGAGAAGCTCCGTCTGGAGAAAGCTTTACATCTTTCTCAGTCCCAGGTGGCCCGTCTCAGGGGAGAAATCAGGTCGGACACTCTGCGAGAGATATCCGGGCCTGAGTCTGATAACTCTGCACTAAAGGTGAAGGAAACAAAGCGGCTTTGCTGTCGCAGCTTTTATCTAGAAGATCAGGTGTTTTTTAATAAAAGCTTATGGTCAGGTTTGTGACTCTTCTTCTCTGCTCCTGACTTCCTTAGAGAATGTACGGGAAGTACCTGAGGTCAGAAAGTTTTAGGAAGGCATTGATCTACCAGAAGAAGTATCTACTGTTACTGCTCGGCGGGTTCCAGGAGTGTGAGGAAGCCACTCTGTCGCTGCTGTCCAGGATGGGTGGCCAGCCGTCTCTTTCCAGCCTAGAGTCCTACAGCCAGCGCCGCCGGGGATTAACTCGCTTCCGCTCAGCCGTACGAGTATCCATCGCACTCTCCAGGTGGGCTGATTGGAGCCTTATGGTTACAAACTTTTAAAGAAGGAGAAAGTATTTACTGTATGTTTTTTTTTTTTTTTTGATTGACATGTAGAATGCGTTTCCTTGTGAAGCGATGGCACAAAGCCACCGGGGTGAGCTCCACGGTTTCCTGCAGCATCAACAAGAACGGAACAGGTGGATTAATAAAAACAAATAAAATCATGTGGATTTGGTTTTCCTTTCATGTCATTTTAGGAGAAAAAGAAAATGTGTCTTTAATCTCTTACAGGGTCAGACGTGAGAGACTCGCCATATCTCCAGCCGGGTGGTCTGGACACGTACAGAGAGCGAGGAGGAGGAGTCTCCAGCAGCAGAGGAAGAAGTGGGAGAGAATCTCCACGATCAGGCTTCTCTGGCTCTCAGCACAGGTATGACATCAAGTAAATACAAATTATTCACATTAAATACAGCTTTTAACCCCCTTATTTCTTCACTACAGTTTTACTGCCTTCATAGATATTCAAATAAGATGAAAAAAGGACACAGTAATCAGTTTTGGACCTACATTTTAGCATTTAAATGTGAAATAATGTGGTTAATCATGGGTTCCTCTTTTTTTTTGTGCAGGTTTCACATGGCAGCAGACCACGGAGCTCTCACCTGTTCACACCTGCAGAGCTATGACCCAGACCGAGCACTTACCGACTACATCTCCAGGCTGGAGGCTCTGCAGAGGAGGCTGGGCAGTGTGACATCAGGTAATACACCGCTCCAGTAACATCAACTTTATTTAAAGGAAACATGGTAAACATTTGAATCACTATGCACTGAAGATCTTTGGTATCATAAAAAGTTGAGGTTTTTGAAGGTTTCATTGTATTACAGCTTTTTTTTTTTCTTCTTTTCTGGAGTAGACTACTAAAAGGAAAACTGCTTTAATTCGTTTAAAAGAACTGTGTGAAAATGTTTGTATTTATTATATTTGGCTCCTCTTGGTAGTAATTTGATAATTACTACCAAGTAATGGTAGTAATTATTCATTACTTGGTAGTAATGAATAACTATTCATGCGGAGAGCCCCCTACTCTTTTTTTTTTAATCTTACTTGACCAGTTTTAGTTTTCCCATGTCTGACTTCCCATCAGGTGTTTCACAACTGGTGAAGTTAACTGATGAATCAAGCTCTTACTGAATCAGGTCGTGAGAATCATTTCAAATCTACAAAGGCAAAAAAAATCAAGTCCTTTTGCTCATTTTTCTAAAAGAAATAGAGGGGTATTCCAGCTAAAACTGGCATAGTTGTGTTCGCTGATGAAGATTCTCAGTCATCCAGGTCCTAGTCATTCTGTAAAAATGAAAAAAATATCCACTGGACTCCTCAGAGAGGTGGCGAAATGTCTTCAAATCCTGGAAACCAAGTCCAGTGGATATTTTTTGAATTTTTACAGAATGACATAGTTATGTTTGTCATATATGTCCCTGCATATATATATATATATATATATATATATATATATATATATATATATATATATATATATATATATATATATATATATATATATATATATATATATATATATATATAGGTTAATGCATCAGTTTGCTTCTGGTAAAATTGTATTTTAGGGAGCCTGTGAATGCACAAATCTCACAACAAATTTATAAAAATGACATACTGTGCACTCGTGTTTTTTTTTTTTTTTAAACAATTTAAGCCGTAGGGTGGTTATTTATGCCACCTTAGCAAATTTCTAATAAACCAATAAAAGACCTGAATAACGAGTTCGTACCTTTGAGTGCCTTTAAAACTTCTGAGCAGATAAATCTTGTCTTTCCGTTTCCTGAACCTATTTTCTGTGTCTGTTGCCTCCCTCAGGTGCTTCTTCATACACTCAAATGCACTTTGGCTTAAGAAGATAGACGCTGACACACGACTTTGGCTTGAAGAAACTCAGTTGCCTTTTCTTGTGCAGAGCGCTATGCTGTTTCTTTTTTTTTTTAAATCATCCCGCTGTGGATTGTCTCTCTCCACGTGGACCAAAACTCATTTTTCTATTGGCGTACGACGTGTTGTATCCAGGCTTTGTGTCGCCGGCACTTGAAACACAGCGATGTTTGTAATTTAATCTGCCTCTTTGTTGTGAATGATCTTCAATCGTGTATATTTGTCTGATGCTAATTTAAAGACGTTTTGTGATTAATTTATGTTTGTTGTTGCGTGGGTGGACAGTTGTGTTGAGAATGTTTGACGGGTGAGGGGGAGTTTTTTTTTTTTTTTTTTTTGTTAAGGAGGCTGCTACTGGATGTTCTTCACTACACTGTGTTTTGTTTAGACCGGGCAGACTAAAAGGAGACATTTGTAGAGAACGTATTTTTGTAAAGCGTAGGAGTTTTGAATTTTTGGGGTATTTTGTCTAAAACTGAAATAAAGAGGACTACATTATATCAAAGCTGTTTGCATTGTTTTGTTTCTCTTATAATGATGTGTTCTGCTAAATTTTAAGACAATTAAAATTATCAGTGTGCTAAAGACCTTTTTATGTAGAAACTTAAATGTTTCTAAGGTGAAGTTCAAGGCTCAACATGATACTTGCAGCATTTACTGCATCCAGCTGTAAGATGTCTGTTTTGCTTTTATTTTGCAATTAGATGTTTCAGAATATTCAAGTCATTCAAATATAAAAGACAGCCTAAGGAAATACAAGAGAAATACTATTTTCACATGATGACGATGAGGATTTTATGAAGTGAAAATCTTTCCACACCAGCCTGCCCTAAGAGAAAGCGTATAGTTCCCTTAAACTCAAAAAATGTTTCTTTCTGGAACCATTTAGCCTACTTCATCCTGTCAGACAGGTTCCTGTGAAGTGATTAATAATTCTTCAGATTTTGCTGTAATATGACTAAACCATTATGTTTTCAAACGGGAACAGTTTAGTTTGGATTGCTCTTTTTCCTAAATAGATTAAAGATTAAAGGTACCGGTAGTCCTTTTCTAAAAACATTAGTTTCTCAAAAAATCAACTAAATATAAGTTAAGTTGAAATAGTATACAAGTTCAAATATTCCCACCATAGAAACCAGTGGCGGGCGGTGCATCTAGTACCTATGCCTTCAGTGGGCACCCTTCAACTTTTACTTCTTAACCCCTTGACATCCGAAATTTATTTATATGTGTGTTTATATATAACAACATAAACTGTTGGGGATCAGTTGTAACAGAAACAAGAGATTTCCAAGGGTTCCTGTTAGCTGGATGTTAATAACTGGCAACAAAGGGTTTGTTGCTTATTTGCAATGATGAGTTTCAATGGGTTAATATCACCACTTTCACATTTTAAAAAATGAAACCGCCAACAGTATTCAAATAAGAAATGTAACAACCGCAGGTATAACCCAGAGGAAGTTTAGTGTGAGGGTGAATCCAAAGATCAATTAAGCAAAAAGCCCAGTTAAGAAAAAGGCAAACCTCTTCTCTATAACCAAAGCTCTGCCACAGCTGAACATTGTTCAGACTTAATATGCATCTAATTTCTACATAAAATAGAGCATAAACCAAGAAAATAAGATATATTGCACTTCTGTCTTTGTGCAGGAAGTCTTAGTATCTCCGTTTAGTATCATCATTGAGGCCAGAAAAACTTTTAACAAAATGGAATCTAAAATGCTGATTCTGACTAGCTTAACTTGGCTGTACACATTTTTGACTGACCAATCAGAGGACAGGAAATGCTTACGTTCAGGTAGGCCCTCTAGCTGGTCCTGTTGGGCAAATCTGAAATCTGATTGGTTGCAGAAAATGTTCCTCACTAATATTGATAACTAATACTGATTCTGAAAGCCCTGGGCAGATTTGATTGATATAGCAACACACAGAGGCTGAAATCTGACTGGACAAAAAAATATAGCATTTACTTAATGTAGTTGAAGCAGCCCAGCCAAGAGGAACGCTATGAAATTAAGAGAAATGAATGTTTGGAATAAATTAATACAGTTGGATAGAAGAAAAGCACTATTGGAAACTAAAAGTTTGGTTTTAAACCTTAAAACCATTATTTAAGACAACATGTATACCAGTGATGAGGGAATGTAAAGTTGAAGGTAGTTCATTTAAAGTTGGCTATAAGTGCTGAATGAGAACCAGTCTTTAATTGTGAAAACAGCTGATTTTCTCATTTAAGCAGGTAAATCCACAAACTTAAATGTGTTTTATTGTGATGTTATGTGTTAGACTAAAAAAAAGTTATAACACGGAAAAAGTGATGTATTGCTCTGGATTTTATGTCGGTGTCAAAGGATAAACAGTATTAGTACATATTATTAGATTATTTTCATTTACTTTATTTTTTCCACATTTACCAATTATATGTTACCTTTTGCTGGTCTATTAAAAAAAAATCTTAATACATAAAAGTTTATGGTTTGGATGTGACAATATGGTAAAAGAAAATGGAGAGGTTTTGGCAGGGCATGGTATTTACAAATTTAAAGGTTTTCAGTCCTGTCATTGTTTTTTATATCGGTATATGAATAAAAACAAAAGGAATGATGGAAAAGTAGGACGGAATTTAATGTATTAATTAATAAGATGAAGGGACAGTAGATTAGGAAATAAGAGTTCTTATAAATACAATTATTTTTGCCAGTGAGTGGGAATGAATGGAAAATAATTCAATTGTTAGGAAATTAGTTGTCTGATTGGATACAATCTTGTTTAATCCAACTTTTAATTTGAAAATCTACCTAGTGGTGGGGGAAAAAATCCACTTTATTTTTATCAAAATTTTGAATACATCAGATTGAAATACATTAACTTGGCAAACCATCACTTCTCCATCCCCTGTGTTGTATGACATGATTCTCTCCCAGTTCTTATAATATACAAATTCCACTGTTTCACTGAGTTAAACAAAAACTTTGAAATTGACTGCTTCCATTTTTTCTCTTTGCTAATCTTCAAAATATAAAAAAGTAAGTATTTTTCAATCAGAGGAAATAACTTTTATAAAGCATATCTTCAGTCAGAGCCACACTTAAAAACTGGAAATGTGGAAATTATACAAGCTTAACTTCCGTCCACAGACAGTGAGTCTGCAACATTGCAGACTCACTGCTGGAAATCCTTAGAGTAAATTACACAACTACAATTTAATCAATTTATTTTGAGGCTTTTCACATATTAGGCCAGTGAGTGTGGAGTGGAAAAAAAACAGAGTTCTTTTGGCAGGGACTCGTCTGTCCCTGCCAAGAGGCTTTAAGTCATTATCTCAGCAAGACAATTTTCCTTATGCATGCATGACTTTACGCTCAGATTGATTGTGATCCTTCTAAAAGATTATTAGATGTGAATAATTTCTACATGGGATTAATTAGGTGTTAAATGTGCAATCTGACCCATGTTTTTTTATTGTCAGCAGAGAAAAACTTATTTTTCAGATTTAAAAAGCGAAGTGATTGCAGAAAAACTGTTAAGGAAAACCTTTATACTCAGACTATCCTGATTAAAATTAAGGAGTTGTTTTCCTATTATAAGGCACATTGATTTCCTTTCATGAAGGCTCGCTTCAGTGTTAAAGCTGGGGCTTCGGATGCTTTCTGCTGAGATTCTGGGTTGGAAACAGTCTTCAGACAAAATACGGGTCACACTGAAAGCATTCAGAGTGCATTCACCTATATTTTCTTGAATTCAAGTCCCAGGATGTCAGAGCTTTGATTAAAAACAAAAGAACAACATAAAAGTCTTTGATTCTCTCATCTGCCCTGCATCTCTCACTGCTTCCTCCTCTTATATCTGATGACAGGGTTATGCGGGGTGTGAATCATCGTTGTGTAGTTGATGGTGGGGAAATATCCGTCCACCAGGTCGAACTCGTACATGCGCAGCAACGTGGACCAGATGGTCTTGATCTGGACGTAGGCGAAGTTCTCCCCAATGCAGCGATGGCGCCCTGTAGGTATTACAGGAAAAAATTATTCAACTTTGAATTTTAAGTTAAATAAAGATTTTTCCTCTCAAAGGGAAGAAGACAGCATAAATGCTCAGTACTATATCCTAAACTCATGCAAAGAGCTGTAAAGGAACATCTTACACTAATAAAACTGTAAACAATAATACACACTGTAGCCTTCCAGGTGTGCACCTCATCTTTAACAAAATTATCAAATGATTGGTTTCAAAGTCATGATGGTGGTTTCTCTTACCAGCACCAAATGGTATGTAAGCAAACTTCTCCCCTCCGGCGGCGTTGTCGTTGAGGTAACGCTCAGGGTTGAACTCCATCCTCTCCACCCAGGCGTCTTTCAGACGATGGTTGACTGTTGGGGAGACGCAGACCTGGTGGCCGACAGGAATGGTGTATCCTGCAGCAGTCTGAGGGGAAACGTTCACACTAGTTTTAGCTCTAAACCTTCTTTATGAAAACTTCCAGAAAACAATTCAGAATCCAAAATGTACCTGAGGTGTGCGAGCCATCCTCATCATTGTCATTATAGGTGGCCGGAGCCTCAGGGTCTCCTTCAGACAACGCTCCAACAAGTTCAAATCCTTCAGCTGAAAACAAAGCAACGAAGAACATTTACTTCATGGTCAAAACAACCTGAGTAAATACAAAAAAATAATTATTTGGAAACAAAAGATATTTAAACCAACCTGGCCCTACGTTAGGAGTAATTGTTCTGTAATCCTAATAACTGGCTATCATTTCATAGGGCCACCAAACAGGGGGAGCCAGCAGAGCCACAAAATTACCCATTTTTGATTATTGAATGTAGCTCTATTTGGAGATTTAACACTTGTTAATAATAAATGTAAACTATTTTAACTACCATATATTCTGGACTACAAGCCACTATTTTTCCCCAAGCTTTGAACCATGCAGCTTATATGAAGGTACAACTTTTTTGTTGATTTTGAGGGGAGGGTCAAAGTTGGAAATGAAAGAATAAGGGGCTAAATCTAATTTAGCACAAGAACATGCTAACAGCAGGCATAATGGATAACAAATGTCCCAAATTCACACATTTTGACATTTAATTGTCTCATTAAAGCTGCCGAACCAGTGAAGAGACTGAAATAAAGAGCCAACAAAGCCTCATCTTTCAGTAGAAGCTCTTACTGCTGCAAGCTAACATGCTAACTGGAGCTAGCATTCTTCTTCGTCCCTATTCCAAGGGTTACATGTAGAGCTCCCCCTACTGGTTTGGTGGGAGACAGTTCAGTAGATATCAGCAGCTTATAGCCCGGTGCGGCTTACATATGTACGTTTCCAGTGTTTTGTTGTTTTTTTTAGCGGGCGCGGCTTATATTGAGGTGGGCTGTATAGTCCTGAAATGACGGTATTGAATAATATTTTCTTAAATGCACAGTTTATTGCAGATGTAGCATCATCATTCCCCAAAGAGGGAGGGAGAAAGTATGCCAACATTTATCAGCTGATTGTGTCAGGTGATGTACAAAAACATTCCTGCACAGCTGCTGACCACCTGGCACTGCTTATGAACTACTTTGTTAGCCTTAACAAAGAAAAAAAATTTGGTTTAACACACCTAATTCATGATTAAAAATAGGTATTTTCTCTTAATAACAGAAAAAATATAATCAAAAATCAGTTGAGAATGAATATTAAATGCTCAGGTGAATCTTTCATTAATTAATCTGTTCAAGGGACTTCCTCTGACCTGATCAAAGTCGAGTGGCGGCAGGTTTTCCCCACAAACACGCTTTTGCTCCGCATAGCAGCGATCCTGTAGAGTTTTGTCCCGGGCCAGGAAGAATCCCATCCAGGCGCTGGTTGTAGATGAGGTGTGCTGACCCGCCAGGAGTAGGCCTATCAACATTCCTGCGATTTCATCGTCAGTCAGTGGCCGACCATCTCTGCAGAAACAGAGTTATTTAAAATCTATTCCGTTTTACTTCTTTGTCCGTTTTGTTTTCAGATGAATTACCTTCATGTAGGATGGTGACTTACTTGTAAGTGGCATCGATTAAAGTCTGCAGGATGTCGTCTGCTGTCTCTCCAGATTTCCTACGTTTTTCAATCACTTTGTAAAAGATGTTCTTGATCTCTCTGTGAGCTTTGTCTCGTTTCCTAAAATAAAAGTAATAAAATCAGTCAATAAAAAGCAGTATGTTTTTTGAGGATCCTTTTTTTTTATGTATAAATATTTTAGCAGCAGATAAAGAGCTGTAAGTTGACCCAAACCTAACCTGAAACTTGGGAGAGGCACCCAGGTGGGGAGCAGCCAAGCGGCGTGGCTAAATCCTCCGTCCAAGTCGGCGTAGAGCTGAGCCACTTGTTCGTTCAGCATGCTGCGGATCTCCTTTCCATGGAGGCAGCTGCTGGCTGTGAGGATGATCAGCTCCGACAAAGCGTCAAACAGGTCTGATACATAGAAAAGTTCAGAGGGTTAGAAGCTGTTGAGTTTTAAATGAAATGTTAATATTTTCTAGCACACTTAGACTTGTCAGATCTCGTCTGAATAATATTAACTATGGACAAATTAAATTTAACTTGTTAATTTTGATACTGCATACATGTAAATTCTAAATAATAAGGATTTTAATGGTTTTCTTGGCATTAGAGACAGACTAGTGCCCTTTGAAGCATGATTTAAGGAAATCTTGAGCCCGAACAAATTGGTTTTCATTGGCTTCGAGTTTCGCTCAGAAGAGCAAGCCAAAAATATTGTGATCAAATGTTTGATCATATAACTCACTTATGAGTCCAGTTTTTGAACTGTTTAAAAAGGAATGCCCCTAGGTTTAGTTTTAGGCCCCATTTTATCCTTAATTTTTCTAATCATGTATCTATCATTTATTGAAACTTATTTATTGAAAACAATTATTTATTTATTGAAAATTATTTTGTCATAGAGGAAGTTTAAAAATATGCAGATGACACCCTACTTTCTTTTTATTTGGCTTTAATGCTTAGATATAAATCAATATCAATACACTGTATCTTGTAAAAAAAAAAAAAAAAAAAAAGATTTCATCATTTATATTTTTCTAATAAGGATTAAAGGCCTGAAAAACAAAATTTCCAGGCTCTTTTTCCCCCCCAATATTCAAAAGAGCTCTGACTGCAGGTTTGTAGCTTGTGTAATGGAAAGCTTTCTGTTTATATTTTAAGGTTTTCTCTCCACGATTCATTCCTGAGAAGAGATCAGTTTAAACACTTTAAATAATCGGCCAAGTCGGCTACAATAAGATTTTTTTTTTCCTCATTTTGTCTCTCATAGTTAAAGTGTATACATCATGAATATTACAGACCTCTCTCATTATTCTAAGTAGGGGAATTTACACAATCAGTGGCTGACTAAATACTTTTTGTCCCCACTGTATATATTAAATAACTATGAGGCATGACAACAGTTTTTACAGAAATTGTAATCTTACTCAGACCTAATAAAATGGCTTAGGTTACAAATGGAAGAGCTTACCACCTCTACAGAAAGTCGGCCCAGAATAACAGTAATAACAGTTAAAGAAGAGTTATCCACTCTCTCTATGCTTGCATTCAATTCAAAAATCTTTGTTATGTACATAAGGAAGATGATCACTTTTTATCCTGATAGACCTGTCCAAATTAGATAAACTGCTTGGGAAAACTTTAGTCATAACACGTAACAGGCAGGTATTATTAGGATTTAACAAGCACATACATAAATAATAGAAAATTATTTTTGCACTTGTACAAAGCTGTATAATCTAATTTAAAAAGTAATCCAGCTTACTTCTCTCTCCACTGTCCCCCCATCTCTTGAAATACTCAATGGTTTCTGTCTCAATTAGCCTGACGTGCTCCTTAAAACGAGCAATGTTCAGTCCAGTTTTCAGCATTTTTTTCTGCTCCAGAAAAAGCTGCAACAGAACAAAGTAGCGGTTATATGTCCTAATCTAGGCTCCGTTTACATGAACACTTCTAAGTAAACTCAGGAGAACTCACAGGGTTTGGGACATCGTATGCTACTCCTTTTCCAAACACTGGGGTTGTCAGTTTGGAGTAGACGTCTTCTGCATTCAGGTCTTCATTCTTACTGTTGAACATAAGCATGGCTGCTTCACTGCCCAACAAGTAGGTGAAGGTTTTCCCCACCATGGTGAAACTGAACACTGGACCGTACTGCAGGCGACAGGCAGGGGGGGAGATTAAGCAACACTCAGCAAACTTTTTAGTTTTTTCAAAGATTCTAGAATGTGAAAGTCAACAGAAGTGAAAGTCAGTTTGGTTGAAGCTAAGTCTGTTTCTTTTGAGTCATAATACCATCAAAGGACAAATTATAATACTTATGCCTAATTGTTCTGCATGATTTGGATCTATCATATGCTTGCTTTAAATGTACTGACTGATGCTGGATTAGTGATAGAGCTCTAAGCTTCAGAAATACTACTATTTCTACTTATATTCCTTTGCTATAAAAATATATCTACATTAAAGGGCCTCTTTATGAGCATGAGAACATTATTTATTCACATGCTTTTTTCAAGCATCATTGTAGAAATCTCCTGATTTCAGGTGAAACTGAATTGCTACTCCTTAAACTTTTCCTAATTTTGTCTATAGTTACACTTTTCACAGATTTTACTGAGATTTTATGTGACTGACCGACCCAGATCATTTTGAATAAAAGTTATGAATGTTTTTCTAATTTTTTTTTTTTTTTTGCTGAAAAATAATCTGGAATGTGTGATATTTGTTTTTAGTCTCTTTACTCTGCAGTCCAGGTCAACCAAGTGCCTGAATAAGCCTCCTTTCCACCTGAAAACTAACAGCACACATCCTGCTGACCAGGTAGACAGGGAGAACTATAGTGTGTGTAAATGGCCTAGTCAAAGTCCAGACCTAAATCCAATGTAAATGAAAATGCAAGCCACATTTCTCAGATGTTGTTGGTAAAGGGAAAAGTTAGCATTTTGTGCCTTGCATAATACATGTGTTGCTTCAGGTTTATGTGTAACTTAAAAACAAAAAAATAAGTTTAAAAGTATATATATATATATATATATATATATATATATCACAATATATATATATAACATGTTTATAATTAAAGTTTATCCTTTAAATATTTAAACCTGTTTAGTCTCTTTATAGAAGACTGATTTTTTTTTTAGCAAGGACATTTTTTAAAGATGCTGGATAATTAAATACTTACTTTTTCATAAGCATTTTCTAGAAATTCAATCGGGCTTTTTCCAAAAGCAATAGCATGTCCAAGGAAAGGGATGCTAGAGGGAATGTAGGGCGGATATTTCTGTTACAAGAAAATATAAACAAGTGTTAAAATTAAAAAGGATTTCTTTTAACTTATTGAATTAAACAGTTAAGATGACAGAGGTAAGTTACCGCATCTTTATCTGCAGACTCCTTGAACAGCCGTTTGGAGACATAACCCACAGTGAGCGTAAAAACCGAAGCTGCCAGAACCAGGGAGGTCAAGTTCTCGTTCATTTTACCCACAGTGTCACCGAGCAGCTTGGTGCTAATCTGGTAGAAGTACATCGACATGTTCAAGGACCTCAACGACAACCGAATCCTCCCGGGGGAAAAAAAGGTTTCTTCTCGCTCTGACAGCTCAGCTACCTGCTGAGTCTTATCACCGGGCAGCAGATCTGATACTCCTCTGAGTATGGAGCGTTTCTACCTGTCACTTCCAGTTCCGCCCCCGCCTGACTGTTTCTGGAATCTGATTGGCTGCTGAACACGTGTCAGTCAAACAACTGTAGTTTTGATTGGTTGGTGATACCTCAAGCGATGTCTTGCTATATGATGTCATGCTGGGGTCCGTTTTATTTCTAATAAATTTTTCTTTAATAAAGAATTATCAATTGTCTGAAATTCCAGTTATGCTTTTAGTGTTGTAAATTGTGATGATAATAATTGTGCCTAATACTGCCAAACCAAATAAATGAATTCCTGAAACAAAGTAGTTTTAAATACTGTTTAATGAAATTGCAAGTCTCCTGCTGAGTTAATGAGTAATATGCTTAAAACTGTGTACGTGATGTTGTTGGCTTTGAAAGCAAGGTGTGTAGATTTATTAATTAAAAAAGTATAAAAGACTGATTGCACGAAAAAAAACACGTGTTTTAATACCGCAGTGTTTTTAAAGAATAGATAAAAGAGTTATTGAACATCTATAAAAAGGTCAAAACAGAGAAATTGTAGCGAGGTCATCTCCTGCCTATACGTCATGAGTCTTTGTGTTGCATTAGGTGGATGCTTAGACACATCATCAAAACCCTGATGTTGTTCCCTTCTGCATCTATGCCTCAGACCCAGGGAACCTTGCAGAATAGAATCGTTAAGTCTTAATATAAAAAGTAAAAAAATAAAAAATAATAAATAAATAAAACATGAGTTGTATTGGGCTATATGCCTAACTATTTCCTGGACTTCAGCCAGCTCAATTTTTTCCCTTTCTTTCATTACTGAGCAGACTGATTAATCCAGGTGTGGCTGAACTCAGTAACCATGGCGACATTAGCCAGACACACCTGTATTAATCAATCTGTCCAGTAATAAAAGACAGGAAACAAAGGAGCTGGGTGAAGTACAGGTACTAGTGTAGTAGGGCATATTGCCCATGGTTTGTTTTAACAAGATAATGATCCAAAGCATAATGACCAAATTATTTTAGAAATTGTTCACAATGCCTTAAATGAAATCTTCTCACATCCGATACTAAAGTGGTACAAAATAGGAATAACATAGCTGCCAGTAATCTTCTTTAAAACAAAATGTATATATATATATCTATATATATAGATATATATATAGATATATATATAGATATATATCTATATATATAGATTTATATATATATATATATATAGATTTTGGTCAGTAAAACTGATTAATAGAAATGTTCTATAGTCAGAGAAAACCTATTATGCAGACTAGTCGATCACTAATTTATGTGTCTTTCATGCATGTGTTTGTTAAAAGCTACAACTTTCAAAGTAATCAGAATAGTCTACTCTTAAAATAAAACGTTAAAAACTGTATAGTTCAAGTGAGTACTCAGACAAATCTATATATACTTGTTTATTAAAACAAACATTAAATAATAAAACTATTTACATAGATTCAAAATGCTGGACTCGTAACACACCAAGATAGGTTAGATTGCTGTCCATAAAAAAGGCCACTCTGGAGAGTCGAACTCTCCATCCAGGTGAGGATGGTCAGTGTAAGGGATGTGTTTGCAGGTTTTTGGCAGATTCAGTTTCTTGAAATGTCCTCAGCCGTAGGCATATTTATCCGTAGGACCTTTTTCAGTTGGAGTCATGTGTCCACTTAGTTTCATTAAAAGCTTCACAATAAGGCCAGCCTGGAAGCAAAATAAGAAACAACGAAGAATCACTGTAAAGGTAAGTTTTTCAACTTTGAAGATAATATTTCAGTTTAAAAAACAACAAACATCTGAAATTTGACTGGCATTTTTATTGAAAGTAGTGATTCCCAGGAGTAGTTACCTGTTTTGTGTGCACAATGAAGTTCATCTTGTTGTCCCCGCTGTGGATCTGGAAGTACTGGTCAGCATGCCCGAGCTGCCACATGAATGTGCCATACTCTAAACTGATGAGAAGGACCTGCAGCAGGGAACAAAGAATCAGTAACCCGGCTCTGTGTAGCAGAACAAGCAAACTGCAAAATATGAAGGTGGGGACGACACCTTGGTCTCCATGTTCATGAGGTGAAGTCCCTTTGTGTTGACCCCGACATACACTCTGATGACTTTGTGGTTGCTGGCGCTGGCCTTGGTGTAGACCTGGCCAGTGAAGAAGGCGGCCCCGTAGGTTGGGATGTCCCAGCAGTTCTGTAAGAAGAGTCTCTGCAGGTGGTGCATCTCTTTGCTCACTCCCTCGCTGGTGCTCAGAGCCTAATGGAGATTGTTGGGTTATAAATCAGATGCATAAAGGAGGGATGAAAGTTAAGTCTGACATGAAAGAAAAAAAAAAAAGCAAATATACTTTGTATTCATGAAGAATCCTGTTGGTCCAGTGGTATGCCTTGCTTTTCACCTTTGAGATTGGCACTATTGATTTCAGGTTTTCCTCACTGTTGGAGGTAAAACAATCTAATTAATCTCAGGTTTCACATTTTTTTCTGTAAATGTTGGAGGAAAAGCATGTCATATTTAAGAAGATCTGAAAACTGTCTTACTTGAGGAAGCCTTGTTTATGCTTCTTGCTCTCATAGTTTCCATAGATGATCTGCAGGAGAAGGCTGGCCAGAGTTATCAGTTTACTGTCCGGAGCAGGAAAGTAGCCTTTCAGCAGGCAATGACGAGCCTCATCAAACAGGATGAGGATGGCAAGTGGATCTTCCACCTTATTTAAAAGAAAAAAAAAAGTGGGATTCACCTTTTATGTCTCTCGACTTTTCTAACAAAGCAACGGCTGCAAACAAAAGATTCCCTCAAACTTCTGCTGGTACCTTCTTCTCTATTTCAAGAGGCAGACGAACGTCCCTGCGAAGAAAGAGTTGAGGAGTCTCCCTTTGAGGATCTAACACCGTCAAGTCTGTCACAATCTCTGTCCAAATCCGGAGATGCTGCAGAGGCTTGTGGTATGGCTTCAGCTGAAGGTCTGACAAACAAAACACACAAAACTTTCTGTTATCTGTTCATAAAAATACTTATGGATAAAAACATTAGGTCACTTTTTTTCAAGCAGCTTATCAAAGGGGGGAAAAAAATGTTTCCTGAACTGAGCTATCACAAATGACACGACTTACGGAGGTTCTCTGAACAAATCCAAATGGTGAAGTACTGCTGGGTCTCTTGGGAAAGCCGCATGCCCTCCATTATCTGCTGCACAGTGGTGTTGTTGCCGTGCTTCAGCTCCACAGAGCGATAGGAGCCATCCATGCGGTATATCCGCACCTTCTCATACTTGGGGAGCACAAAAACAAAGCAGAACTTGACTTCTAGAACTGTGCTCAAAGACACAGCACCATCTAGTGGCAAATAACGTTACCTTTCCATTAGAAACAGGTTTCTAACAATAGAAACCCTGTAAATGTCTTCACAATTTATGACCCTACAAGCATATAATCATCATATTTTTGATGGCAGACAAAACAAAGTGCCTGAAAACTGAATTTTAAAGGAAAATTATGATTTAAGTTTTTATCCAGCTGTTCTGTGAGGGACTTAAGAGGTTTCCTAGTTAATAACATTCAAAACAAGAAGGTTTCAACCACAACACCACAGGGAAAAGAACAGAACTAAAAGGTCAGGGCTAATGTTATAAACAAGTTAAAGCAGAGTTGGCAAGTAGGCTCTAAAAATCTTACGCAGAGCTTTAGCCTGGCTAGCCAGACTGAACCAGGCACTGCGAATTAGTCTGATACACCTCGATTTTAAAAGGTAGGACTAACAGGGTCAGGTTAGGATCAATCGGGGCAGTTCGGATATGATGTGCTCTGTTTTTGTAATTTTTTAATCCGTGAAACATGTCAGGCGGTCGAATAAACTCTCCAGTGAAAGATTTCTGATGGTTTTTCCTAAAAGAATCTGACGACATAAGGTGTGCTCTCTACAACATTTTTAATTTTCATTGCAACATTGCTCCATTGTGGTCGCGAGTCTGTTGCTATGCTAAGAGAAAAGCGCTGCAGCATTATCGGGTAATTCTGTCGCTGATTTTACGCATTGCAAAGTCTCTCCACATGCGATGCGATTGGTCTGGCCAAATTTGGGCAGAGTCAACGATAGTTTTCAGGACTGAATTACTCTCCGTGTAATTCAGTCTGGCTAGCCAGGCTTACAATGCATAGTAACTAGAGTAGGTGAAGAAATCAATAATTCAACTGACTTAAACCAACTGCTTCACTCTGTTCCAAACAAAATTGTTACTGTGAAACTATTTCTGTCTCTTTTTCTACAATGTGTTGAAAGACAGGAAGGTTAATGCATGTACGAAGAAAACAATTTGTACAAACTTTAAACCATGCATTATTTCTAAAAACAGCAGTGTTTCCATTAAACTGAAATATGAATTGTAAGCGCACTTTTAAAAGTTCAAAATAAAGTAAAAATTAGAATTTGCAATGTTTCCATTTATTTTGAAGTGAATTAACCAAATACCGCAAAGGCCTTCTATGCGGTCGTCGATATTGCGTAACAAATAGGAAGTAGAGGCTGAAATCTAGTATTCCCCACATATCAGTAATGGAGGAAACTATTAATGTATGTGTTGCAATCAGCGAAGCTATTCTTATGTTACCATGTCAGTTATGGCGAGGCTACGTTCAGCATTGTTTACGCAAATAATTTGACTATGTGGAAAGATGACAGCAGAAACAGCTGATCCATTGTGAGGAAAAGCTTGCTACATCAGAGCTGATTCGAAAAAAATAATGTTTCCTTCTCTTGGTTTGCGCATCAACCTTTTAAGTGTAAAAGCCAAGAACAGTTTGTTCGAATTTTGTTGTTTCCATCAATCTTTTCTGATGCGATAATTCAAGATACATATAGGAAAGAGCTGATGGAAACGCAGCTTACAATCGACTACTTTGTGTGAAAGTTAATCAAATGACATTACATGTTGGGGCAAAAGAGGAAGACGTTTAACAGACTGTTGGTTTAAAACTTATACATTCTTCATAACAAATCTAAAACAGAAAA